AGCATGCATATAATAAATAGAATGTATATTTAGTAAGCTTTGACATTATGCCTTAGTACAAATTTAAAAGTGTTTTTAAATTTCTTTGAATAGTTAGAATAGAAATATTTACATATTTGCAAGGTTTCTCTATTAATTATTAAGTTTCTCAAGACTCTTCACCATAAAAAATTAACAATAATTTGGAACCCGCCTTATCCCGAAAACTCAAAAGCCTTTTTTAGTTAAAAAAAAATTGTATATTGAAGATTTTTGGATTATTATTAGGCAGAATTCAGTTTTTAGGGATAAATAATATATTTATAGATTTTGTTGAGTTTCTCATGCCACCATCACAATAAAACAGTAAGGAAAACTCGTAAGAAGCTTAAATGTCCGAAAGTCAACAAACCAAATTGGTATAAATCTGCTCAAGCAAAGGACTCTGATTCTAGGGCGCGAACATAAACGTGATGGGCATCTTACCTTTACAGGTGTACTGAACTGGGGGTTACATGGTCCGAAGATACCTGCTTACTACATCGTCATATAAGGCCTCCATCAAATGGAATCAGCTTCGATTAGATGCCCATGCAGCTGTAGACAATAAATTATAGAGTTTATGGCAATGATTTCTCACAAAAATGGGCGCAAGAAAGGACGAAGGATCGCACAAAGGCGCAGGAGAGAATAAGTAAACCCCAATAGGCGCTCGGTTCAGGTAAGATAACCGAACCGAGTGGTTGGTTACACCCTGACCCTGAGAAAAGGACACATGCTGTGGGTCGAAAACCCGCCAGGATCCTCTCTATCTGTCTATGACTTGCCAAATGTCCTGTTTGTTTCGGAGTATCCGTAAAGATCTTGCGTTTTTCCTTGGGACGAGGGAGTTTTTCCATTTTACAGGCGGGAAAAACTGCAATTTGAAAACTGTGAAAGCCGAAACCCCCCGAAAAAGGCAAACATTTGGCCAGCACTCGGGCATATTTCTCTAACGGAGAGCAGCTTCCCTCGCATGTGTTGCTTTTGGCGGTTATTCCTGCGCGATGTTGATATTTGATTAGCGTACGCACATGAGGATGCGGAAGTGGGAAGTGGATGTGGATGTGGAAGTTGCAGTTGCAGTTGCCAAATACATCCCCATGTTCCGATTGAGTTTCCTTTTGTTAGATCTTGATCAGAGTTTCGGGATGAAACCAACTGCTGACGCAGGTAAAAAAGGTGGAACAGATTCTTTAAAGTATAAAACAAGTCAGAGATCTTGACGAGAATATCTGGACTATGCATATTTTTAGTATTGAATTTATAAATGAATATAAAAGTAAAACTTATAAACTGCTCTTAAAAATTATGTAATCCTTTAAGAATCATGGTGTTTATAACCCAGACATTTAAACATTAATTAAATACCCTTCTTAGTAAAGATAAATAGTTTGTGCCATGCTGCCATTTAAGTTGTCTGCATACTTGTATATGCCTCGATCCCTGGAGACTGGTAGTACATACAAATTTTAGGCTTTCTCCTCCATTTCTTGACTTCTCAAGTGCTTGCGCAATTCGATTTTGGGTTTTCTGTTCTCTTCAATTCTCCTTTGTGTCCGCTGGATTAGTTCGGGGTTATATACATATATATGTATATACGAAACTCCACAACTGCTCCTTCTTCAGCTCCTTTTTCCCTGGCCTATCTGAGTCCTTTCCCTTTTATTTTCCTTCCGACTTCAATGCATTCTGCCTTCTGTGACCCGTTTGCATATGTCGTTTTCTAATTAAACATTGGCATTTGCTAAAGTTCTTACTTAATTATGTGTATATTGATCGGTTATCGGCGATCGATGTGGAGAGCCGAGGAATTCTCAGCTGTCTTCGTTTCGACAGCTGCCAATTCGTTATATCTTTTCGGCCATTTACTTTACCCATTTACTTTTTTCATTGAATAAATCGTTAATTCAATTCTGATAATTTCCTCACACTTATCTTTGGCCCACTTGAACTGTTACCGTAGTATACATTATTTTTGAATATTTTTATAAATCTTTTAATTAGATTCTATTCGATTGATTGAAAACTATTTAATTATAGTCGTACTTGTACTCACATATATATTTATTGGTAATAGATAAATGACTTAAAGGTTCCCAAGGTGAAGGCAGTCGCAAAACATTTGCTTACAGCTCGATCATGTGTTATGGAGTGTCATGGAGTGTGTTATGATAAGAATATCATGGGTATGATATGTGTATGGGAATGCCACAAAAACGCGATTTGTGTAACTTGTATTTTTATCTTATAAATTTTATTAGGCCATATGAACGAACGGTGTGTGATTTTGTTATCTTATAAGGTGGAACGTCTAAAAATGCCATAAACCTTTAGATTTCCACTCTATAAAAGGTGAGGGTTATTTTTGACCGCTGTTTTCATAAAGATTAAAATGAAATGCTTATATCTGATATGTGAAATTAAGAACTGCACAGTTAAACCACTTTCCTATGCTTGTTTTCGGTTGAAAAATGCAAGGGGACTTGAATCTACTCACTTGCCGTGCAAAATTATCATTTGGCATTTTCATTAAACGCCTGCCTAGGTCAATTCTCCATAGACAAAGATTTCGAATAGCAGCAGGGATCTTGGGTTAAGGAACTGTACGAAAGGTAAATCTCTGTGACATTTCCGAGACAAAGGGCGAAAAAACAATTGTGAGGCCAAGGTAAATGCGGGTCTAAGGAGAAACTTATACCAAAACGAAGACGATTTATATTCTTAAGCCAGATGTTCGTGGGAGACCAAACTGGGATACAAAAAATTGCACTGTACCAGGGAACTTGGTGGGGCACATGTGCCAAATTCTAAATTTAACCACAAAATACTTTGAGGGGGGAGCAAACAAACACAAAAAGCAGACGGTAGATATCTCCCCCATCAAGGCGAGAAATGCAAATGGAAGCAGATGTCTGCTGGCAAAATATGAATATATAAAAAATAAATAATCGTAAAAGGAGTTCGAACCGATCACAAGAAGTAGAGCAACCTTATCAGCCAAGGCAACTGGCGCACGTCTCTTTTTTCCCATTTCCCATTTTTTAACCTGGCACGTGGTCGGCTGGCTTCCTCTTTCTCCTCCTTCAAAATCCCTTTCTACCCGTGTCTGTATCTTTTGCTATGAATTTACACCTGGAATTGGCAAACAAACAGAATGGAGTGGAATCGAAGGCAAGGGCAGCGAGGGGATGCAAACTACAGTAGAGCAAACCCTTTTTCATGTCCTTTTCCAACTGCAACCGCAGATGGACACCTTTCGTTGATGTTCAGGTTGGGTACAGTGGGCATCCATACCGAAAAACTACTAAAATGGAGTCTCGGTCGGTGGTAAAACCTTTCGAATATGTCCAGATATTTCTAAATTTAAAAAAAATTCTTATTACAAAGCACAGACCAATTTGTTTGTTCTTGCCTTGCCTTTTATATTTATAAATTCAGTGGCAACAAATTGTAAGACATATAAGTACAATTATGAATATCTTTGGAGATATTTTCATTTAAATCAAAATGAATAATTAAAAAATTACCATTTTCCTGGAACGGTGTGCCATTTAACCGATATTCACTGTAGCCCTTGACAATTTTGGGGTTGTTCGATGGTCTCATTTAGCCGCTCGATGTTTGCCGGTTCCTGTTTCGCCAACATCACCTTCCCCGACCTTTTTTGCATTTTCGCAAACTGAGCGAGCAGGAGGGGGAAATCGGGTAAGCAGCAGCAGCAGCAGATGTATTTCCAGGACGCACGCCTGCTGCCAGGATGCTGAATATGCATTTCCACTTTAATATCAAAATTTAAATGCTTTCTGGTGCGTTGTGATCCCTTCCGATCTTAAAAATTGCATCTGCTGTGAGGTCTGTCCGGATCCGTCTGCTGATGCAGGACGAAAAGGACAAGGATGAAGATGGGGAGCACTCAGCACAATTATCATCCTGCATCAATGGCAGCGTGGCATCCATAAAGGATAAATGATGATCGGACGCCAGACGGCAGTGGTCCTGCTGACCACAAAATCTAAAGCTTAACAAATGAGACGCAATGTGTCGCAGATCATAGACGAGCTTTGGTTCGTATCCTAAACTATTTTAAAGGAAATCTAGAAGGGGATTTATAAAAGTGAACCCGAAATTGGAAATTGACTGAATAATCGTTATGTTAGTATTGTATGTGAGGCAATGTAAGGACAAATAATTAATCCCTAAGAGTACCAAAACAAGAAACGAAATACATAAAAAAAAGTTGTAGTCGAAACTATTATTATTATTAAAAATTTAAAAACTTTTTATTTGTTTCTTTTTAACTAGTCTTTTTAAATAGATTTTAAAAATATTTGTTCATAGTTATATTTGACTTATTTAGTTTATATTTCTATTATTTTGACCGCTAATGTATGTTAGTTATATTTTTCTCTGAAGACCCGCAAAGTTCACGATCAAAAGCATTAGGGCAATTTAAATAGTTTCGCAGCTATATGAGCCAGACCAGATAGACCTTATAACCCCTCCGAAAAGAAAGAATTGCTTTGAACCTGGCTGAACTACACACATATACACACACTTAACCACTTCCACACATAGGCGAAAGAACAACAGTTAGTGGAGATCAGAGCAGTTTGGCCAAAAACAAAAAAAAACTAAAATGCAGGCCTAGAGCAACAACAAAATCAACAGGAGAAGCAACAGCAGGAGAAGAAGAGGAGGACTGCCCGATCAAGGTGCAGAAAGGTAAAGGTAAAAAAGGTACGTTATAGGGGAGGCTCAATACACGCGAATGGCAGGCACAAAAAGAGACCGAAACCATAGTAAATAAGAAACAGCTGCCAGAGAGAGGCGTCAAACATTGCTTGCTCTCTGGCTGGCTCTCTCGTTTGCTCCCTAGCGGCAGCGACGTCAGAGTCGTGGGAGAGAGTTCGAGAGCGAGCGTTTCTGAGCTGGTGCGAGGCTATAAAAGGCCGCAGCACCTTTTATTTGTTGTAGAAAAATCGCAGCGAAAGGTTGGATCCGGGAGTTTGTCGTCGTCGGTCTCTGTGTTTCGTTCGTTTCGTTCCGTTTGTTCCCGTTGCGCGCAAACAAAATCCAGCCAAATTCAAAATGTTTTAACGGAAAACACCAAATTCGAAGAACTCTTACGTTAAATTAATGCCAAATAAAATACGCAAGTAGCTTGTGGATTTTCGCTAGCAGTTCGCGAGTTCGTTTAGTTCGATTGAAAGAGTTTCAATCAACACCAAGAAAGCCATTACCATGGGTCTATCGGATATACCAGTCAACTACATGCAAGGCAGCCATCCTCGCCTGAACCTCCATTCGCAGCAGCAGCAGCATCACCAAAACCAGCAGCACTTGCAGCACCTGCAACAGATGCAGCAGCTCCACAACGCCATGCCCACTCCCGCCCAGCAGGCCGCCCAGGTCCTGGCCCTGGAGAGCAATGAGCTTCTCATGAGCACCAAGGACAAGCTCTCCAGCAAGAAGAAGATGCACTTGCTCAAGAAGATCAAGAAGCGTTTCGGATTGGGTTAGTAGTCGCATTAGTACAAGACTAGAAATCGGATTAAGGATATGTTGGGAAAGGGATCAAAATATTGGTAGAAATCGCATTGGATACTTTAAAATTTCTTAGAGTAAACTTATAAAAAAAAACAAATCGAACAAGACTTTTTTTAAGTTAACTTACAAAAATCAAGCCATAGACAGTTTTTAATTAAAAAGCTTCCTGCGTGGAGTCCCACCACTAACTCCTTGAAGTATATATAATTACAGCGTGCGAAAATACTTTAAATACATAATTCATTGATCTCAAGCGATTCCCACATAATATTAGCATGCGGTCTGACCTATCGCTCATTCATTCTTTCAGTTAATTAAAGCGGCAAAGATAAATAAGCAGAAAACACAGCCAGCCGTAAAAATTTATGCATACATTAGCATTTTGCGTCTCAAGAACAATAACAAATAAAGAAAGATAAAAGCAAAAAACGAACCGATTGTGATTGTTTGAAACAGAAAGCTAATGACTAAATGCTTAAAATGGCACGCTCAGTTCGCTTATTGTAATAGTAATACTTTTTTGTTGACTACATAGAAGCAGAAAATGCCGAAACAAACTTAAATTTGAAATTCTCCCAAGGCTTCTTCTTCGCAGAATTTAACCTCGACCACCGACTTCTTATTCGCCGGAAATGTCAGTTCCCAAAAACTGAATTTTTCAATCGCGTCGAAAATAACTCATTCCCCCAAGTAACCACAAATTGATCAAGAAGATCGGGAACCTCGAGATGAAGAAAATACCAACCAAAGCAATTTTCCCAAGGAGTGATTATGTTTATCATAACGATTATCTGGGCAGGGGAATTTCGTTCCTTTGTTTTTGTTTTGGTTGCAAGCAGCTGAGAAAAAGCTTAAAGCAACAACGCTACACTCTTTTTGGCTTTGGCTCAATTGCATTCTCGGCTTTATTGCTCTCTTTTTGGCCAAATCAGGCAAAGTAAACCCAATGACGCATAGGCTAAGCGTCTTTTACTTCTTTTTCGTTTTTTGTACTTGCCTCCTGTATACAGTTGTGTTCGCAAAAATAGAACTGAAAACATAAATTAAATTTATAATAGACTCGTTCCTTACATGAATTACTACCAGTTTATTCAAATTAAATTTCATAAATGCATTCTAAAATTAATTTGAATCAATCCATCAAATCATTATGCGTATTTGGCTTTTCTTGAAGGAATTTTGCTCTTACAACTTCTTATGGAGGTATTTTTCTTAACACCACCGTTTTTGCATCTGCCTCATTCAGCGATTGTTTTTGCTTTTGCTATTACTGAGAAATGTAAGCGAAGCGCCGTTGCCGCCATCGGCAAAACCAAAAGCAAATACAAAACGCAAAAAAATAACGATCAACGGCAGGAGAAGAAGAAGCAGGAGGAGGATCGAGCGAAAAGAAGAAGAAGAGAAAAGAGGAAGAGGTGTGGCTTTGAAGTTGGGGTTTTTGTAGCTGCTTCTGCTGAGCGTTTAAGCTTCGGATGGTTTATGTTCATATGTTTATGTTTTGTGTGGCGGCTTCCAATACGTTTGATTTGAACGTGCGTTGCCTATCGGTAATCAATGAAATTACTTTGTTGTTGTGTGCGGCGTCAGCTGCTTTTGCTTTTTTTACCTGCATTTTCTATTACATTTTGTAGTTTGTTGTCTTGTTGTTGTTGTTGTGTGTTGGCATGCCACGTTTGCTTGGCTAAAAAGTTTATCTGCTCTTGGCTTTTACTTAGCTTCTCACGGTTTACTTTTCGAAATGGTTGTTGGTTTGAGTTTGACTTGTGTTGTGCGTGTGTTTGCAATTGAGCGCTGCCAACTCGTCTTTGAGCGTCTGATTATTGGGCATAATGTCGCACGACCTTCGATTGCTGGCCACAAAGTAAATAGCAACCATAAATATTAGTTCACACACCCCCGTAGGGGTGTTTATCTGTACATACAGATACGGTCAAAATATTAGTAAGGGCTTAAAACATATGTATGTATCAAAATGTTCTAGTTTAATAAATTTCCGCTTATTTTCTAAAGAAATTAATTTGGAATTTCGCTCAGCCCATTATACTTAAACTTTTTCTAATCCTTAGAAAATATTTTGGTTTGACCGCAGTTGTAGTGTGTCCATACATTCAAGCTTTGAACATCTGTTGCGATATTATTCCCCTTTCTACGTTTTCTTCATCCCTTGAGTACTTTTTTTAGTTGCTTTTTCCCCTCATGAGGTCATCTAAATGTGTCATCCATCCTATGGTCATTTTCTTTGCACCTAACTTCAAAATGTGATTATAATTTGTTGGGTAAAGCTGATAGGTAAAGCAATGGCTTTCCTAATTGATAATTTTGCTCTACCGATAACGGTAGTGCAAAAAATAGTTATCTTTGCAAGTGTAGTTGAATACTGATTGGGATTGGCTATAAATATTAGTTCTAAGCGTTTGGCTACATACACAAAGATATTTTCGGTGTCTTTTTCTAAAAAGCTTTCTTACGAGTCACGACCCACATCTTTTGTTTATCAGTTATTAAACCAAATAACAAGCTTGAAGAAGAGAGAGAAAAATATAGTAATAACCACTGTATTAATTTCCTCAAGACCCAAAAGTAGTACAAAATTGTTAACATTTTGTCTTTATAGAAAGATAACAACGCATACCACCTCAATAGATACAGATAAACTAGATAAAAACGCTTCGCCGCAGGGTGTTGCAACTGGCGCAAGACAAAAGGCACAATCGAGGTAGCAACAGGTAAAAATATCTATAGTATAGCAAACATACCTGGCCCAAAATGCAGCTGCAATTAACTCAAGCAAAGTGGGATGGAAAGATATCCAAAGGCATCTTTGGGTCAATTTTGAACGCCTTTTGGGAGGGCGTAATTTTTCCAGACGGGTTAAAGCGGGTTGCTAGGCATAAATCACCGTTGGTTTTCACTTGGTTCGAACACCTACGGGTCTTTAATCTATGCCCATGTCCACCAGCAGCTGTTCGGCTATCCATCGTTGAAAACTTGACCAGATCGGGTTTTTTTAATTTCAGTTTTTGGCCTTTAACGTCTGTGGTTCAAACTTTGAAGAGAACTTTAATGTAATTAATATGAGCACCTATTTTAGGAGGAGCTAGAACTAGATTTCGTTCAGCTTTGCAGCTGCGTGGGGTATTTAATATGCTAAATGTTAGGCAATTTGCATGGTTTTGCTATAACAATAAATGTTATTGAGGCAGTCGATAACAATGCTACCGAGGCATCAAAAACTATCGAATTCCGGGCTCAAAACACTTGAATTGCCTGTCAGCCTTTGTAATTACAATGTTATAATGTAATAACGATGTGTTTCTATCAAAAGACTACTCTTGAAGTCCATTCCATTCCACTCAGCTCACTTTGGTAGCTGTTATTGCTGGCTCCCCCTCAACGCTCGAGTGATTTAATTACACAAAAGAGTTTCGAGGGGAAACGAGGGGTGTCTTGTGCAGTCATGTGCGAGGAAATGCTAGTCGTATAGGAGTAACTATCAACTGTATTATATACAGTGCTCTTATATACATTTATGTGAACCTCTTCACTGGCCCTTTGCAGTAATTGCAACGCTTCGATAAACAGCAAGCCTACTAAGCGCAACAAAGCAAAGCGGAAGAAAGCCGGGCTTATCGTATCTGACTCTTGAACGTACAGTACTGCAATAAAAACTCCAGAATAATTGCATCCTTATTAATTAAGTATGTTTTTAAGATATAGTTGAGACCCATTTTGTTTTCTATTCCACGCAAATACAAACAATTTTCACAATTTTTAGACCTTTTTGTTATTTTATACTCCTGGACGATTTATTTTGTAGAAAGCAAATACAATTTTGTTTATTGTGTTTTGTTTTATGTTGCCCTACGCTTCCTTATGTCTCTGCGTATATATTTAGATCGGTTTTATGTCTACTCAAAGTTGAACAAGTTCGGTTCTTCTTGGCTGGGGCCTCTTGCATGCTTCAGCGCCCAAATAAAAATACATACATATGTATGTATATGGAGTTTATATATATCATGTGCACCGATGGAGAGGTGCTCTCAATCCACACGGTCCGTTGTTTTTTAGGCTTGTTAAAATAAACATGTAAATTTGATTTGGCCACCCACCCTCCCGCACTTTGTTCCTCCCTTTTTGCTATACACTTTTCCATATCTCTTCCTTTCAGTGGCTAATTATATTAGAAGGGGAGCTGCTCCTCATCCGGGTGTTTACAACTAATTTGTTTGTGTGGAAAGGCTGAAAATTTATGTCGAATGGGGAGAAAAGTCATTGGAAGTCATTGAACCCATTGAGAGGTGTGATCAATATGTAAGGTGTGCAAATGTTTGGTTTTTCAGGGGCTTCTTATTTACCCTACTGGTATTCTCTTACTATCTTTGGGGACTTTCCTGCATGAGTAGGTTAACGTAGTATCGCTGGGAATTTTTCTGATGCATTTTCATTGATTACTCACTTGTTTTTCTTTGTATTTTAATTTCACAAGGTTTTCCTATCTCTATTCCCTTGTTTATGTCTTTAGTTAGTTATTTTTGTGGCATACTTAATGATTGTTATTTTTAAACTCGCTGCTGCTTGGGATTGCTTTGATTTTTACTTCACATGTCGTGTGCGGTATCAGATTTCGCTTAATCGCATGAAAAGTGCAATGGACTTGGGAAGAAGAAAAGCTGTTTAGACACAATAACAACTGGTTGCAACAACTTGGCATAGTTTGACCTCTGGTTTCATTGCTGTCAACGCCGCCGTCGTCAGTCGGCCCCTTTTCCGTTGCGTAATTATTTTTATTATATTTGCAGAGTCTGTGTCTATGTCCATTGTTGCTAAGCTTCTAAAGTTACCGGGAGTCGGGAGGGGCAAAACCGGTGGGGAATCCACACCAGAAGAGATAGTTTCTCGCTCCAGCAGCGAGTGCAATTTCCGCTGCACTGGTCAGCGGTTCAAGCAGAACGGAAGTGGTTTTTGCATTCAATCAATGGGACTTTCCACTGCAGACAGGGTTTACTAAGTGGATATAGCTGTTAAGCAAACAATAAAACGGCAAGTTGAGTGGAAATAATGTTTAGTGAAAAAAACACAGAAATTGGAATATAATTTCGATAGATATAAGTTAGATCTTCATTTTTAGTCTTAAAACTTGTTCAATTTCACTTCTAATTTTTCCTTTAGCCGAAAAACTTTCATATTTTCCCGCCCCACGCAAATTGTTTGTTTGTGAGCGATTAATTAACATTCATTAGCTTCATTTGCGTATATTTAAGACAAGAATTCAACATTGCTTTTATTGCTGTGAGAATTGTTTTACAAGCCTTTCGGCGAGAGACACTTGCTCAGATCTTAAACTCCGACCAACGCCTGACTTTTCTGCCCACAGCCGTAGCCGTAGTCTCTAACTAACTATCTAACAAACGACCCACACACTGTTTCCCCAAGTAATTTCACTGATATTTCGAAAACGAAAATAAAAATAAAAACGCACCGAGCGAAGTGGCCAGATACGCTTTATAAGTTATTTATCGGCGTGGGTCGATCCATTGACAAGCCCGTGGAAGTCAAAGCTTAAGTCCAACTCAATTCGACTCACTCACCCACTCGTTCTGACTGATTGCCGCGCCGCAAAACGTCGATAATTTATGCCAAATGGTTGACCAATTGATACAATTTGTAAATGATCCATTGATCCACTGGCCAAGCCGGCACACTCCCCCTGAACTCCCCGCCTTTTATGGGGCATTTCCGGTGCAATTAAGCGGCCTTTGGTGTGTTAATTGTCCGCACACGTCCCGTGACTCATGCACGTGGGCATACAACAACAGGAACAGCCCAGGGGGAGGGGCAGCACGTGACCTGTGACCTCAATCGCTGCAAATGGGGGAGTTTAAGTGGGTGTGGTGTTATGTTACATAAAATCATTTAAGATATATTTTTGCATTCCTAATCATAATGGAAACTTTAATACTGACTAAACAATATAAATCTCTAGCGATTTTTGCTTATGGTTGGAGTTAAACTCAAAGCTATTGTTTTAATGCCACCAAATTAATTCACTTTTAAGTGATTTGTTAGAACCGATCGTTACATTCAATCCGAGCTCAGCTTCCCCCTTGTAAGCCTTCATTCAGACATCAAGATAATCTGTCTTTAATGATCGCCAACTCGACTCACGAGTGCCAATCGAAATCTAATGACGTCTGCTCAATGGGATTTTGAATGTTTGGAGGAGATCTCTTCATCGGATCGTTAAAATGATTTCGCCTAACGATGGTCGGCACAATCACAATCGCAGATTGCCTCACTGGCTTTGATTTTCTTTTTTTTTCTGTTTGCGCGGGGTTTTGTTTTATGACACCTGCATGATTTTCACATTTTCCACCCGCTCAATCGCTGCATCTGAGCAGCTGCAGCTTCTCCAGTTCCCCAAATCCAAGCAAAGATTCGGGAAGATCCGAACTCCGCACTCTCTTCTCGCAATTACCGAGGCTTGTTACAGGTTTTCGATGTTCGGCAGCCGCAAATTTACTATATATCTCCTATATATACAAATTTGGAGTCGTGGGAATTGTCTCTACTGTGTTTGTGTTTGATTTTTGCCCAGAGTGCTCAGCGTGGGAAATGTTTTGCTTTTGCCATAGCTCGCTGCGCTGGTGGTGGCGAATCCAAAAGATGTCGCTGAACCGCGCCGAACGGTAAATCAGGTTTTCCTTTTTGGCAAACTACGAAAATTTGCCTGCAACTGCTGCAAAAGATCGTTTGCAGTCGATCGGATGCTGCTGATGCTTCGTTTTCCCCGTTTGGGAACCTTTTCGGCAGAGCGGCAAACTCCAAACAACGCATCCGTGACCACCGAAAGTCTGAACTTTTCATCTCCAGATGTAAGTTGGCCAAATTATGTCGAAATTTGACGATCAGCATTAGGTCCATGATCAGAGGGCCTGGGAAAATACATAACTATGAACTACATTTTACCAATTATACAAGAAGTTTAAGCTGAAATGATTCAATAAACTAATCTTGACTATTTATAGTCGCAATCATTGCCAAACATAATAAAGATTTCACTTTGAAGCCATTTATTTCCGAGAGTTCTTTGAATAGCCAAAAATATTTCAGTTTATCTGAAAAAAAAACATATCCGGAAAATGTGTATAATTGCCCCTTACAATTTTCCCTAGATAATGTAATTTACTTAATTAATATGACGATGGTTGTTTTATGATAGCTTTCAAGCCATTGTTTTTCTCGTCAACTTTCCCAACAACAAGTCTCTCGTTTATATATTTAATACAATTAGTTATTATGGGGGGAAGATCATCATTAAGGCCTCGAGCGAAGACAATCGCTGCACTTAATTAATTGTGGCCACTGGCCAGGCTAATTGAAAGTATCGACGCGTCTCTCAAGCACCGTTTCGACTTGGGACTGGGACTTGGACTTCAAGGAAAAAGCGAGTATTTCATTCATTCATGGCTGCGCAATTCCATCCATTGACTGACGACTGTCTGGGTCTGGGCCGATAAAAAGTAGGCGTCGCCAGTTAGTTACTAGCCTGGCCAACTAGTAGTGAGTAGTGAGACGACAACATCCTGCAGCTAATAGGCCCAATCCAATACACGTATATGGGTAGTACGTGATTTCCTACTTCCTCGTCGCGGTCACTTCATAAATATGGATGGTTGGTCTCTGGATCCCGCTTTTTTCTTCTCCTACTCCTTGAGTCCCCTCAAGAATGGGAGCCAGAGCCACCGGAAGCTGGTGCTCCCTTTCCACTTCCTGCTGCGGAAGCACTTGAGGATTGGATTTTTCGGGAAACAGCCAGCAGACAGTACAGATTTCGTGTGCAAGTCATTGGCCCTGGCTTAGGATTAAATTTCAACCCCAAAGACACACAGGGAATCTTGCCCTTGCCGAACCCAAAAGCATTTCTATCTTGTATCTGTCTTGCAGTGTGTTTTTTGGAAATTTGAACAGCTGCAGACTGTGCAGACTAGACTGGTGGAACTGCAACAACCCCTGAGCTGAGCGATCGAAAACGTTGAAAACTACCCTCGAAAAACGGGGACAGACGACGCTCTTTAGGGGTTGTTTTACCTGTTCCAACCATTCAGCTACAGCTGCTTTCTTTCTTCTGGCCTTCCAGTCCTATTTCTTCCCCGGCACAAAGGCAAAAATTCAGAAAAGAAGGGCATCAAGAAACAAGGGAAAAAGGACAGCAGCTGCCACATGCCGCTCCAAAGCAAACACATTGATCTCCAGTGCCACGCGCCGCATATCAACATGGTAATCACCATCAACATCAACATCAGGTCCTTTTCGCCATGGGTTTCGGTTTCTTATAAACTGGGCTTATGCTTTTTCAACACAACTGTTGGCCTGCCGCCGGAATCGTCTGATGTTGGGCATTGCACCGACCTGAGACCTGAGACCTGAGGAGAAACCTGTCGCCATCCTAAGACTATTCGTGTAATTATTTATATGGCCATATGGATTGGTTATAGGCTTTTTCCCTGTTTTCTGCTGTAATTGTCGGCAGCTGCTGAAATACGTGGATTTGCAAGGTGCAATAATTATGCCAATTTCGGGAGTATATCTAAAGGATTCCTTTGAGTCCATATAATTGCAAAGAATTTAAAGCCGGCTGAAGCATTAAAAACTCCAACAAAACTTCATGCAATTGTATAACAAAATGAATTCTTTAAGAAATAACATATACCAATATTTGTAATTCCTTGAAGTAGTTCTTGCTCTTCTTTCTCTTCGTTTCTGACTTGGGTTTTCCAAGAAAAAGTGCCAGCAGCTGACGGTAACCATGAAAAATCCTTTCGACTCGGCCTGTTGATCGTTTTAGTCAAGGCATTTACCACATTTTTCAAATGCAACGCGGATCCCCAAACTCAATAGTTTAATAATAGTCTTCAATCCAGTCACGTGCCTTGTGCTCGAAAACCAACTAAATTTGGGTATTTTGGGTTGGGGGTTATTGACTCGCCCAGTAAGATTCTGCGTAATTCGATAGCTAGCACATGGTTGAATATTCGGCTACCTGGAGCAACACATAGACATTTCTTTTTTCAAGATGCGTAACTCGACGCGGGGGAACTGGCATTGAGAAAAAGATTTTAAAACAATATGACAAAAGATGTAACTTATAGATAAACAGGAGCTGTGGGAAGGCAGCATTTTGTTGAATGCGAAGTAAAAGATTCATGGGAGAAAATTATACCTACTTTCCCACATCAAGGTATACAAACTAAAGCTGGGACAAAATTAAAATTTCATAACGTTTAAAATGCAGAAAGTGGTTAAATTAATTAATTTTGTAGCTTTTTTGTATGCATTTAATGGATTAATATGAATTAAAATATAAAGTTTTTTGTAATGCATTAAGTGGTTAAAAACAATTTCAATTTAAATATAAAATTCATTTTAATATAAATTGAATTGTGTTTTTAAATGCATTAAATTGTTAGAATATCCAGTTGATCCAAATCCTAACTAACTTAATATTTCTTGTGTACTATTTCAGTTCGCCGCTCGCCCTCCTCGTGTCCTGGTCCCAATAATCTGCCTCCGCTGCAATTCCACACCGTGCACGGCGACAACATCCGGATTTCGCGGGACGGAACTTTGGCACGCCGTTTCGAGAGCTTCTGCCGGGCCATCACCTTCTCCGCCCGTCCGGTGCGCATCAACGAGAGGATTTGCGTGAAGTTTGCGGAAATCTCGAACAACTGGAATGGCGGCATTCGGTTCGGGTTCACCAGCAACGATCCTGTCACGCTGGAGGGAACGCTGCCCAAGTACGCCTGTCCGGATCTGACGAACAGGCCCGGTTTCTGGGCCAAGGCCCTGCACGAGCAGTATTGCGAGAAGGACAACATCCTGTACTACTTTGTGAACGGAGCTGGCGATGTGATCTATGGGATAAACAACGAGGAGAAGGGTGTGATTCTATCAGGCATTGATACGAGAAGCCTGCTGTGGACTGTGATCGATATCTATGGCAATTGCACGGGCATTGAGTTCCTGGACTCGCGCATTTACATGTACCAGCAGCAGCCAACGGCGGCGGCAGCGATGCCCGCCGGAGCTGTGGTCGCCCAGCAGCAACAGCACGTGGAAACAGCATCCTTGAATCCCCATCACCCGCATCAGCAGTCGAGGAGATCCCTGCCTGGACACCCTGGGGCACACATCGAGCACGATCTGGAGCGGCATGTGATGCCATCGCTGCAGTCGCTGCACTTGGCTGGCAATGGAGGCGGAAGCGTGGCCAGTGTGGATCAGGCGGCCATAGCCCACGACCTGGCGAACGGACTGCCGCCGCTGCGGTACAATGCCAATGGACGACTCATACCCGTGCCCTTCCACAACACCAAGGGCCGGAATGTGCGCCTCTCGCAGGACCGCTTTGTGGCCTCTCGCACGGAGTCCGACTTCTGTCAGGGCTATGTCTTCACTGCCCGTCCCATTCGCATTGGCGAGAAGCTGATTGTGCAGGTCCTGAAAACGGAGCAGATGTACGTGGGCGCCCTGGCCTTGGGTCTCACCTCCTGCAACCCGGCCATGCTGCAGCCCTCCGACCTGCCCAATGACTCGGACTTTCTGCTGGATCGCCCCGAGTACTGGGTGGTCAGCAAGGATATAGCAGCTGCCCCTCAGCGTGGCGATGAGATTGCCTTCTTTGTGGCGCCCAACGGCGAGGTGAGCATCAGCAAGAACAACGGGCCCGCTGTGGTGGTGATGCATGTGGACCAGTCCCTCCAGCTGTGGGCCTTCCTCGACGTCTACGGCTCCACGCAGTCGCTGAGGATGTTCCGCCAGCAGCTGCCCAACATGGTGGCCTACCCATCGCAGCCGCAAGTGAATGCCACCAGCTCATCCGGCTGCAATGCTGCCTCCACTTCCCGGATGCTGCCCATGACCGAGTCGATGAGCAGTCTGAATGCCGGAGCCACTGCCAAGCTGCTGCAGCACCATCCCTCCCAGAGCACATTGGCCTCCGCGGGAGGAAGCAGCCGTATGATCAGCATGCCCTCCAACGGAGATATCCTACAGATTCAGCCGAATGGTGGCGGCACCGTACTGGTGGTGAACCTGCCGCCGGCGAGCAGCTCGCACGATATCAATGGACAACTGGCGGCCAGGCCCTCGGCCACGGTGACCTCCAGTGGCATTCTGGCCGGAGCCTGCTCCAGCAGCACCCTAATCAGCACCACCAGCAGCCAGTACATTGAGGTACGTAGTCACAAAGCTTAAACATTTAAATGCCAATAATGTACTAATGGTTTTCCCTTTGCAGCCCGTTGCCAAAAGCACAAATAACGCGGCCAACAAGTGGAAGGATAGTTTGAGCGACCAGCAGAGCACCGATTCGAGTGCCGAGTGCACCATCTGCTATGAGAACCCCATCGATTCGGTGCTGTACATGTGCGGCCACATGTGCATGTGCTACGATTGCGCCATCGAGCAGTGGCGCGGAGCGGGCGGTGGCCAGTGCCCGCTGTGCCGCGCGGTCATCCGGGATGTCATCCGCACGTACACCACGTAAAAGTCGTTTCCTAGCCACCACAAGCAACCTTTACTCGCAATCAAACCTACTAAAGCTACACACACCACACACAAGTTATTGCATTTTGAAAGCAACCAATCAAGCGCAAAGAATATAATAATGTTGGAGAGATAGGCTAGGCATCAATTTCGCAGACTAAAATGAGTTAGTTTAGGATACAAAACTGTCACATAATTTATGCCCTACCATCTAAAGTGTATGTTTAATTTTTTGTGATGTTATAAGTAAGTGCGTCCAAGTGCGCAAAACACTATGTATTGTTCACACCAATCGAGATTTCTTTGTTTTTCAATTTTTTGCAAACCTGCGAACCGCGCATTCATGCGTGTGGTATACTATAAAACCAAAGTATTGTATAGGAGTTAAATGTATTTTGAATTTAAATTGATTGAAAGTTGTTGCAAAATTTACTTAGTTTTTTCTCTATGTCTATATCCAAACAATGTGCAAAATTATCAAACACGAAATTATGATTTTTTATTTGGCGAATAATCATTTTGGTGCTAAATGTTTTGAAAGACAAATTTAAATTGTTAATGGATTTGAAAATTTATGTTTAAGCTTGCAGATGAAAAAGGAGCAAGCATGCAATTAAAAGAAGCAATTATTGACTACTTTCCAGAAAGGAAACGCTTGAGATTTTCTAAGATGTTTTGGAACAGCAAACTCGACGACACAACTCAAATATGTCTGCAGCACAAAATGTTGAACAAAGATTGATCAGAAATCAGAAAAAAAATAATACTTATGCACGAAAACCAAAACAGAAAACTGCAAGAGCGTGTTAAAATCTAATGTTAGTCTAGCCCTAAGTACTTAAGTTAATTTCTAGTCAACGAATTATGCTGAAGTTTAATCTAGACCGGGACTTCATCCAACAAAGACACCACACAAGACGTATTAAGCACGCTAAGCAATTTTAATGAAACTGCATTTTAAAGTACACTTAAGTAGTGCACGTATTTTAAAACAGATTAAAATATATATTTAACTTTAACATAGAACAAAAGACTTGTATGTTGTACCAACAGCTTGAATGAAATATGGAAAATGGAATGCCCATCTAAATCAACCATGCAGTTAGAAAATTGCCAATAATTAATTACAAATACCAAGCAGATCAAACTTGAAGGACAAGAACAGCGGATAACTTTACCTAAGATTGTATTAAAACTGAAATGAAAATGTAACAAGCAAAGAACACAAAGAAATATGCGAAATGAAGCGCAAGCTTACTATTTTTGTTATAAGAATGAATCCGGATAGGAGTAAATAAAGACATGTTATTGCCACTATTAATAATTAACTTTTAATTTTTTAATGAAAAATAGTTCGTAATGTTACGATACTGCGCCTAGTTATGACTAAACATATAAATGTATTTATGAAATTATATTTGATATATGTAAGAAAACGCAATGCTGTAATACCATTAAATACTGACAAAAATATCAGAATGCCTTTGGTTTTATTTTCTTTTTAGAGGGTTTACTAAAAAACAATTGAAAGTTGTTTACCTCATTAGTTAAAAAAAATTACATTAGAAATTTACTATTAAGGTACTAAATATTTTTGCATAATAGCTAACTAATAAATTCATAAAAATATTCAAACCAAAAAAAACAGCGAATGTTATGTTTTCATACTATAGTTGATAATGAAAATGTGCAATTGTAAATAACTCGTTTGCCGAGTTTGTTTCTTAATTTAAAAGTCACGATCATATAACAATCCGAACATTCTAATCTTAAAAATTTAATTGAAAATACGAATATGTGTTGAAAATGTAACGGTCAAACTTGTTTAGGGATGCCACTTTGCTTTTCAAAATCAACCAATATTGCCACCAGGCTTAATTGTTATCGAAAGTCTCTACTGGCTGCCCATCTTTGCAGTATATTTAATAAATCTTGCAACGGTCACACTGCATGCAGTAAACAGAGATTTTATCGTTAGGAAAAGTGGTGAATTAATGGTAAAAAGCGCATAAAACCAGGCCAATAAAAGTGTCTGGATGAGCCAAGAACCAGTGCGCCCCTACCAATTGTAAGTATAACCCGAAAAAGCGATGGAAGTTCAGTTTTTTGGAGAGCACGACGTAGACAAAATACTTACCCCCACCCCGCACCCGTCTTTCAATTCCACGAACCGTTTTCTACAGAGCACAGGCGACCCAAATTACGACGAACGTTTTCGTTTTCTAATTACGCATTCCAAGCATGGACGAGGCGAACATACAGGACAAGGAGCGGTTCGCCAGCCGCGAGAATCACTGCGAGATCGAGCGTCGTCGCCGCAACAAGATGACGGCCTACATCACGGAACTCTCGGACATGGTTCCCACCTGCAGTGCCCTGGCTAGAAAGCCGGACAAACTGACCATCCTCCGCATGGCGGTGGCTCACATGAAGGCTCTGCGTGGCACTGGGAACACCAGCAGCGATGGCACCTATAAACCATCCTTCCTTACGGATCAGGAGCTGAAGCATCTCATTCTGGAGGCAGCCGATGGGTTCCTATTCGTTGTATCCTGCGATTCGGGTAGGGTCATCTATGTCTCGGACTCAGTGACTCCCGTGCTGAACTACACTCAGAGCGATTGGTACGGCACCAGTCTGTACGAGCACATTCACCCCGATGACCGCGAGAAGATCCGCGAGCAGCTGTCCACGCAGGAGTCGCAGAATGCTGGCCGCATCCTGGACCTCAAGTCGGGCACTGTCAAAAAGGAGGGTCACCAGTCCAGCATGCGCTTGAGCATGGGAGCCCGACGTGGTTTCATCTGTCGCATGCGCGTGGGCAATGTGAACCCAGAGTCGATGGTCTCCGGCCATTTGAACCGCCTCAAGCAGCGGAACTCACTGGGACCCTCTAGGGATGGCACCAACTACGCTGTGGTACATTGTACCGGCTACATAAAGAACTGGCCGCCCACCGACATGTTCCCCAACATGCACATGGAGCGCGATGTGGACGACATGAGCTCACACTGCTGCCTGGTGGCCATTGGTCGACTGCAGGTCACCTCTACGGCCGCGAACGACATGAGTGGCTCGAACAATCAGAGTGAGTTCATCACACGCCACGCCATGGATGGCAAGTTCACATTTGTGGATCAGCGGGTCCTGAACATATTGGGTTACACGCCCACTGAGCTGCTGGGCAAGATATGCTACGACTTCTTCCACCCCGAAGACCAGAGCCACATGAAGGAAAGCTTTGATCAGGTGCTCAAGCAGAAAGGGCAAATGTTCTCGCTTTTGTACAGAGCCAGGGCTAAGAATTCGGAGTATGTGTGGCTGCGGACGCAGGCCTATGCATTCCTGAATCCCTACACCGACGAAGTGGAGTACATTGTGTGCACCAATAGCTCCGGCAAGACCATGCATGGTGCTCCCTTGGATGCAGCTGCTGCCCATACGCCCGAGCAAGTGCAGCAACAGCAGCAGCAGGAGCAGCATGTGTATGTGCAGGCTGCCCCGGGTGTGGACTATGCCCGCCGGGAGCTGACCCCGGTGGGTAGTGCCACCAACGATGGCATGTACCAGACGCACATGCTCGCCATGCAAGCTCCAACGCCCCAACAACAGCAGCAACAACAGCAACAGCGGCCGGGATCGGCGCAAACCACACCAGTGGGCTACACCTATGACACCACACATTCGCCGTACAGCGCTGGAGGACCCTCGCCGCTGGCCAAGATTCCCAAGTCGGGTGCCTCGCCCACACCGGTGGCACCCAACTCCTGGGCAGCCCTGCGCCCACAGCAGCAGCAGCAACAACAGCAGCAGCAGCAGCCCGTGACCGAGGGTTATCAGTACCAGCAGACGAGTCCGGCCAGGTCGCCTAGTGGTCCAACCTACACCCAACTGAGTGCCGGCAACGGAAATCGCCAGCAGCAGCCGCAGCCGGGAGCATATCAGGCGGCTCCTCCGCCACCGCCACCCAATGCGCCGGGAATGTGGGACTGGCAGCAAGGCGGAGGACACCCACATCCGCCGCATCCATCGGCCCATCCGCACCATCCACACGCCCATCCCGGCGGACCGGGCGGAGCAGGACAGCCGCAGGGTCAAGAGTTCTCGGACATGCTGCAGATGCTGGACCACAGTGCGCCGACCACGTTCGAGGACCTAAACATCAACATGTTCAGCACGCCGTTTGAGTAACTTGCATCCCGATACCGATCCTCGATTCTCCAGATTCCCATTTATTCTGTGTCTCTCTATTAACCACTTCTCAAGTGCAATCCATCTTAACATTGTTGAAATAATTCAGCCAAACGCATGCAAATTGTAATCTCGTAAATAGCATTTTAAGTACATGGCCGGTAGTCACGTACACGACTCTGATATCTTTATTTTTGTGTGCTACGTAACGTCTTCTTCACCTCCATTTCCATTTGCCCAACCCGCTCATTGGCCGTTCAAAAGTATTTACAATTAATGTATTTCGTCAGCAAACAAAAGGGAATATATACGTTGCTATATAGCCTATGAATTCTAAGCTTTCTCATCGATTCTATAGGATTAAGTTGTATTTCTCATCAAGCATTACAAAGTTCATGCAACGTATACATATATAAATATACAATTCGTAGTCTAATATAAAAGAAATTGATATATGTAAGCAACACAAAGCGCACCATCCAATAGCATTGACACCATTTCCCATTAATTTTTGCCCATTTTCCGCCCATGCTTACAAAAGTATATGAGAAAACAATATACATACTATATATACACAGAAATTTGCTTCATGTGCAGCTTTTCTTGTTGCTTTAATTGCAATTCATGCAGCGACAAGGAAAACTTTCAAGCTCAATACAGTGGCGCTCAAAATTGAATCGCACACACACAAAATAAGACCATTTGATTACGAAAAGTTCAAACATTAAATTAGTTAGTTAAGCGCTCTTCAAAAAACAAATTTTAAGCAATTATTTAGCCGCTAAGCCCAAATTTTTGTAATTAAGCGAAAACAACGATGATAATGCTTAGAAATGTGGGTATTGAACAACAATTTTTCGGTTTTTAATGAAAATAAACTTAATGTACTACAAGTTGTAAGAATATGATTAATGATTTGCGGGTCTATTTTTCGACTGATTTCACTTCGACAGCTTTTTCACTCTTGAAGTCCTCGAATTTGGACCTCTTGGCTGGACTGTCGAAGGAGGAGCCACTGGGGGAGTTCCTGCGCTTGCGTCCTGCCTCCTTCTCCTGCTCCTCTTCATCGCTGGGATCACTGTGCTCTGCCATGGTTTGATCCTCCCGTTTCTTACGAACATTTAGCCAGGCCATCATCGTTTTGTTCATCGCCGGCTTAGCTGGCTTGGCGACCAGTTCGATGGGCTTGTTGCACTCCTCGCTCTTGTTCCGCGAATTATTCACCAGCTTGGACACACGGTGCCACTGGAGCTTAGTAGCCGGGCGCAAGGTGGCTAAGGCTTCCGCGTCACTCACTCGCTTAAAGTCCAGCCAGTCCTAGGAAACAAAAGAATACATTCGTTTAGGAGGGTAGGGTTTTTAAATTAATGTCTAATTTAAATTTTGAAGACTTTCTGTACATTAGCAATAAGGTAAAGTCGTTAAGATTCTTTTTTTCTAATTTGTTTATACTTTTCTTACCTTCTAGGTGTTTTCCAAATCTGAAAATTTCAAATTTAAAAAATAGCATCGACTTACATTCATTTGCTGCTCGGTTTCGAGGATGGCGGGCATGCGATAGTGCATCCAAGACATGATTTTACTGGATTGAAAGGTGATAATACTGTAGCTGTACATCTTGTCGCCGCTCTCGTCCGCCCACACATCGAATAGTCCCGCCATCCTCAGCAGCTTCACATCCTTTGGCTGCTCGTAGATCTTGGCGTCGCCCTCCTGGGGTACGAATACCAGGTAGGCATCCCGCTCGGAAGGCTTCTTGGCTGGACCGGCCGTCTGCCACTCGTAGAATCCCTCGCAGATGACCACACAGCGCTGGCCGCGCTTGAAGGGCCCACGATACAACTTCGAGTCCATCAGGTGCTCCAGCCGGCAGTTGTTGGTGGTTAGGCCATGTCGCCGGTAGTCACCCTTATGCCAAAAGGGGATCATGCCCCACATCATGGGCATGATGACGCGGGCGCACTTCTGATCCTCGGCATCCGAGAAATGTCCTGCGGACACGATGACCGGCGTTATGTCGGTGGGGGCAATGTTGTAGGAGGCCTGGTAGTTCCTTCCCAGATTGAATTCCGCCCGCCACTCGGGCGTCTCCATTGACGATCCTTCCTCATCCTTGATTTTATCCTTGTCTTCGGAATCAGGATCCGTTTTGATCGTTTTCCGTGGATATTTACAGGCGCAAATTACCTGCTCGGGGTCTAGGGTTCTAAAACGGCTTTTAATTTGGAGTAACTGGTGTGATTTATTTACCTACAGGCAAGTGCGCCCGCACATTGGTCTTAACTTTAAGTAAATAATTAAATACGAATTGTTAGTGGCCAAACTGAAAGTGTAAACAAATATTTTGGAGGGTTGATTGAAATACCAGTTCTGGCCGCCTCGTAAATAAAATACCAAATATATTTTGGTCTAACTAACAACTGGTCACTTTTAGAGCCAAAATCACAACAGAAACTCAACGCTACTCATTTTGTTGCACCTTTTTTAAACTACCAAGAGAAAATGGGCGAACGCTACAATATCCACAGTCAGCTTGAGCATCTGCAGAGCAAATACATCGGCACAGGGCACGCCGATACCACCAAGTTCGAGTGGCTGACCAACCAACATCGCGACTCTTTGGCCAGCTACATGGGTCACTACGACATCCTTAACTACTTTGCCATTGCGGAAAACGAGTCGAAGGCACGGGTTCGTTTCAACCTGATGGAGCGGATGCTGCAGCCATGCGGACCACCACCGGAAAAATTGGAGGACTAAGATATAATACATAAACAAAAGAATAAACAAATGTAGAGAACAAAAAGGCATTTTTCAGGGGTGGATGTGGATCATAAGTTTATATACCAAGTGCGGTATTTATCGACATTCGGTATTTTTCGGTCTAGCCGCGCACGGTCGCACCCCAGGTCAGGAGAAGCTTTTCACTCGATATAACTTATTTTCGTTTCAATTATTAATTTTCGAGAGCTAGTGTCTTAAAGTAACCATAAAATAGCCAATGCGCACCAAAGCAAAGTACGTTATTGTGTTTTTCCCAAAGCTAAAACCAAATAACCAACTAAAACCCGCAAGAAAACGCTCTGTACAACAAAACTGTAAAACTGCAATACAGCAGCAGTCACAACAACAATAACACGTCGGGGCATCATCTTGTGCGAAAAATCGCGGCGAACAAAAGAGATCGCAATTGGCAATTGCGTAGAACAAATACAATGTCTGCACATGCACACGGCGCACACCAGTGCAAGTGCCTGTGTATTTGCCGAGCTGAATAATGTGTCCCGAAAAACAAGAGCAAAACCAGACGACGCATAAACTTATAAATAGTGACAAACTAAAACAGACCTACTGTTATTTCACAGCTGCCCAATCAGCCTGTCTAGCTAAAGTTCTTGCCAAAGCTCTCTTTTTCTAGTAGACCGTGCCCATTTTCGTGGCCGTCACTGTGGGCTGGCAGTCGGCGTTGCCAGACCTGCGCGAGAAAAAGCGTAATTCACTCAACTCAGTGCTCATGGCATGATTAACAAAAAAGTCTGCATATTTCCCCGTGTGTGTGGCTGCAAATGTTTATAAACAAAACTTGTAATTATAATAAGCAATAATAATCAGCCTCTGGGAGCTGGCCCCAGTGAATACGGCAACACTCGCGCATATCTGCGTTTTGCTTTTCGGGAGCACAGGGCAGCAGGCGAAGAGGAAGAGTGGTGAGGCGGCAGCGGGGCACAAAAAGCCCACGACATCGTCGAGTTGAAAATTTTCGCGAAACCGAAAAAGTTAAAAATAAATGTTTACTGTGCAGCGGCATCGCGGCTGCGGGGAAAATCGCAATTAACACCCCCTGCTTCGTCCCGCTGATGGCCCAGTGTTAAATGTAATTTTTCGATGGCTCGCGCTCGATTGTATTGAATAATTCGTTGCCTCATTGGTGTGAGGGGGAGGTAGAGGAGCCCCCCTTTTTTTCGAGTGCCTCTTTCCACCGCCTTTCGCAAGGCAAACGGAACGGCGAAAAGAAAGAACCGTAATCGTGGGCAATAGAAGAGAAGCAAAGGAAAAACAAAATAAGAGAGTGGAGTGTCATGTCCTCCTCTCATCGCTTGCCCTGGAATCTGTGATGGATCTGCCAGTTCTTCCAGATCTTCCAGTTTCCCCAAAGCTAAATCAAAATCCTAAACTCGTGCTCTCTTCCAGCTCCACAATATCCAAATCAAAATCCTCCGAATCCGAAGCCCGCAAGGAATTCTCATAAAACCTGCAAATAGCCCGAAGTCGAAAAGCAGACCAATCTTCAGCGGGAGACGCTCCTACTGAACGCTTGGAAGTGGAAGCGAAGCTTAGTGCCCGCTGCCGAATAATGAGTCGACATGAAGGTGAGTCACTGGAGCCGCCCAGACAAATTGACAAGGATAACCAAATCCACCCATGTCCAAATCGCAGGTGTCAGCTGCGATTCATGTCTCAAAAGCAACTTCAACGGACGGCGCTACAAGTGCTTGATCTGCTATGACTACGACCTGTGCGCCGACTGCTACGAGGATGGAGTCACCTCCACGCGCCACCTGGTCGAGCATCCCATGCAGTGCATCCTTACCCGCTCCGACATCGAGCTGTACTTCGGCGGCGAGATGCTAACCTCGGACCAGCCGCAGAGCTTCACCTGTCCCTACTGCAAAAAGATGGGCTTCAGCGACGCCACCCTGCTGGAGCACGTCTCCGCCGAGCACACGGAGACCAGTCTGGAGGTGGTCTGCCCGGTCTGTGCCGGCCTGCCGGGCGGCGAGCCGAATCTAGTCACAGATGACTTTGCAGGTCACCTCACCCTGGAGCATCGCCAGGGACCGCGCGAGCTGATTTCCTTTCTAATATCCTTTTTCAAAACAAGCATCTACCCCTATTTTGAGTTAAAATGTCTCGCTGTGCATCGCAAGGATATAGTTCAATAGTCTAAAATACCTTAGTGATTCGGAAAAAGAGCCATTGAATGTGAGCTAGGAAAACTATTGTAGTTTCCTTGCATACATTTCAAGTGTGTGCTTAAAAATAATTACTTCTCAAATTTCCAATAGAAATCACTTAATTTATTTTGATTTCAAGCTGTGCTGAAAGAAAAATATTTACTTTCCATATCGAATTAGATTTCTGATAAATGTGTGTTTAAGCAGAAGCATTTATTTAAAAATATCCCCTTGACAGAACTGTAAGGCTTTTTTGTATTTCAAATTGTGCCGGAAAAAATTCATTTGTTTAAAACGGTTTCTGTTAAATCTAAATTTTCAAGTTCAAATATTTGTCCTGTAATTTTGCTGTTTTTTTTCTATAATTTTTATTAGTGCTCTGTGACGCTTACAGTCATATTAGTCATGTTATTGCTTCAAAATTTGCAAGTAGAAATATTATTCCTGTGTTTTGTAAATGCTTTATGAAATTAGTCATATTATTGCATATTGCATAGCAATTTTGTGCGCTGTAACGTAATTGCAGGAACATTTGAATTTGATCGAAGCAAACTATTTTTCCTTATACTTGGTTCTCGTTTCGAAAAACAAGCAGGTAGAAGCGGTTCAACCCGGTTTTGTTTATTTAATTTAAGATCTAAGCTGATTGTTGTATTTGTTTTTTGTTTATGCTAGACAACAGTAAACAGTGAAACTGATTTGATATTTATTTGATTTTACATTTTAACCTAACTCCTCAGACAAACCTTTATATTTTTGCGATACAGCCAAAGGCATTTTATTAGCACTGTTTTACCTAGTTGTAAGTTAATTATGCATGAGTCCAATCCATTGGTTTCCTTAACCTGTGGACTGTACGACGAGCCCTCGGCCATCCGTCATGGCGGTGGAGTGCGTCGCATCCCAGGACGCACTCTCGGCGGACCACGAACGCGCCGCTCCAACATGCACTTCAGCTCGTCGAGCGGTCTGTCGGCCTTGTCGCCCTCGGGACGGGAATCGGTGGATCCTATCGCGGAACTGTTGTCGCAGCTTTCGGGCGTGCGGCGGGGCGGACCGCCCACATCGCAGCTGCAGCAGCTACAGATGCAGATGCAGTTGGATCGCCAGCAGGTGACGGTAAGGGAGAGGCCTCGCCATATTCATTTGATTTGTGTGTATAAGGAAACTGCGACTTTCGTTGTCTTCTTGCCTGCCTTTGCGCTTGCATTATTTTAGGCATCGCGCCAAATCGATCGGCTGCCAAGGCGTGCGCATCCCATAGTCTCAACATCGAACTCGAATGCCGCCATGGCCGAGGTGATCAGCGGTGGAGCAGGCGGCGGCGGCAGCGGCAGCGGAGGCAGTGGCGCAGTTGGAAGCGGCAGTGGCGGCGGCAGCGGGGGCACCGCTCCGCCCAACCTGCGCACTACCGAGTGGCCAGTGACAGCAAGCTTCTCGACATCGGCCAGCAATCATTCGCAGACTCAGTCGAGTCTGGCCGCCAACAGCCTCAATGCCAGAGAAGTAGTTCATCCCACTGGCCAGCATACCCTGATTTCAAATGTCCACTAACCACCTATGTCTTGTCCTGCAGGCGATCGGAACGGGCAGCAGCGGCGGAGCCAACAATGCCCTGGGAATCAGCGTGGGTGTCGGTGGAGCTGCCAACGGCAACTGCGGAGCAGGTGCAGCCGGAGCTGCAGCAGGAGGCAGTGGCCAGGCGGTTGGCCAGGGTGGTGCGGCAGCTGGCGAGTCCCTCTTGCTGGCCCAATTCATGCAGCCCACCCTCTCCGAGGCCGAGTGGGCGATCGTGGAGAGCATGCGGGCAGATCGGTGAGTGTTTCCATCTGACAGAATCACACCTCGTTTGCCCAGAAATATTCTGCTTTAAAGAACATATTCTATCTGTTTTTGTTTTGGTGAGATAAGCTTTAAAAACGAAATAGATATTAAAACTGTAATGAAACAATGTAAAATGCTCGGAAGCATACACTTTTTTATTAATGTATCATAATGCTTACCAACAAACGCAATGCGGTTTAAAAAACCTTTGACAATGATGTAGTTGTTTTTAAGAATATGAAAACTGTTTTAATTCCTAAAATTTGATTTAGTTATAGTATTAACTATTTTTTATTGCCATTTCCAAAAGCTATATCATGTATATCATTTAGATCCGTAAAGACAACTTTTGATTTAACGTATAGATAGATATTATTGGTACCTCACAAGCTAATCCAAAGTCCTGCCTCTTCAGGTCCATGTTCGTGCAGTCGCTGATGCTATCGATGCTCTGCAATGAGGCGCTCGACTTGAATGCCTCCGACGAGAGCCGGGCCAAGAGTGATAATGTAAATAAGGGGCAACAGCAGCAGGAGGAAGCCGAGGCCGATGCGCAGAATGCGGAGACACTGCTAAACAACAATGCCGATGTGGAGCAGCAGCAGCAGCCACAGCCGGCGATGGTGCGACAGGTGAATCAAATGCAACAAACCTCGCCGGAGGACTTTGTGTGCGACGAGTATCGCTATAAAAACAAAAAGGCAAACACAACACAATCGAGCGGAACAGCAGGAGGAGGTGGCGGAGGAGTAGGAGGATTAGGATTAGGAGTGGGTGGAGTGAGCGGAGGAGGTTTGGGGGGAGCTGGAGGAGCCACTGCAGCCCCGGGAGGGGGTGCTAGCGGAGCTGGCACTAAGCCAACAGCTGACAGAGGCATCGAGAGACGCGGCGGTCGTCCACCGCCAGCGGAGATGGCCACGGGCTCGCAGCAGCCACAACAGCAGCAGCAGCAGTCCAACACGGCCACTCCGGCGGCGTCCCAGCAGAAATACAAACAGAACGCTAATGCAGCGGCGACGGCGGCGGCAAACACAAATCAAATTCCCGACTCTAGGTAGTGCCTCTGATGATCACCATGATCACCACGAATTGCATCAACAACAACAACAGTAACAACAACCACACCCAATGCTGCAGCCACAACAAATCTATCACCACCACGAACACAGCAACAGCAATGGAGCGTCTGCTTCTTGAGCAGAAGTAGGAGCTGAATTCGAAACAACAGCAGATGGAACTACAACAAACACAGCCGTTAATGTAACAACCGGAGTGGGGGATAGCTGCTGCTCTGGAGGAATCCGATTCGTTTTAAGCAGTTGCGCTGACGCAACCGCCGCAGCAATTTCGTCAAAAGGAAAACTATATTATGTATCGTTTATTAAATATATTAAAATTTATATAATTATAAAAAGATGAGAGGAAGTGCAGCAAGAAAAATTATTGTAATCATTGAATTAATTATAATTTAAAGAAACCACAAAACATCGTTGTTAAGTGTGCTTTGGCTTAACTTCATACGCGATTTTCAGCGTAAGGATATGGAAGATAGGTATTTTACATAATAGCGCTTAAGGAAAAAAAATGTTTTAAAAGATCGTAGTTAACTAATATTTAAAAGATTCCCTCGACTTGAACCTTAATAAGAAACATATTCCCTTTTAAAAATTGCTTGAGTTATCCTTAGACTATATTCTTCTCCTGAGATTTAGGATTCATCTTAAAGCTTCTAAAACTACGGCTTAAGCTGAACTACTAATCTTATTTAACATCTCAGGGTAAGGATATGGAAGATGGTTCTTTCAGATCATAAATTTTGTTTTAGTAATAATAATATATACTGATAAAGGAGCTCTTGCTAAATTCAACTTGCACATAACTGAGAAACATTTTGCTTATTAAATTTTAAGTTAACTTACTAATCTTATTAAATTCAAATTCAAATTTCGGCACATCTAAAGGCGGCAGATTGTCCAGATCATAGGCGCTCTGCACTCCTCTTGGCCTTAGGCAAAACAGATACTCCACGGCTTGCTTAATCTGCTGCTCGGAGCAATAGGGATTGACCATGACAATAGAGTGGGCCAGCAGTTTGGCCAGCTTTTTGAACAGAAATCGGTTGGCGATTAGGCCCTCCGCCAGGGGGCTCATTAAATGACGCACGATCCAGGGTCGAATACGAAGCACACAGCTGGAAAGTAGAACTTCGTCCACCAGATCGATGGAAGGGCTGGATATATCGGTGGCGAACTCATCATCGCTGTTCTCGCCGAATAAGAGGTGGAACCTGTGTCTCAAACGATTCTCGCAGCGCCAATCCGCCTCCAGCAAGCGAATTAGGCAGGCATTGAGCCGCCTCCTCTGGGCGTAGAGTTCGCAGGGCCACCGGCTCTGGCCAAGATCCACTTGGCTGTGCTGCTCCCTTGAGGGTGTGGCTGTGGCTGTTGGGGATTCCGTCTGTGTTTTGGGACTGGGCAGTTCGGCGTTTTCAATCTCGTCCAGTATGGCCGAAATTTGCGGATCATCGTTAACAGCGGTGGGCTGGATGCCAAAGATGTCATTCAGATCGGTGGGCTCATCGCCAAACAGCATGGCCAGTTCCTGGGCCACTGCATCTTCGGTTTCGGAAAAGGGCGAGCTTGGCTGGACAAGAGGCTTGGAATCCTGCTCCTGCTCTATGTTCCTCCTGCGACAACGCGTGCAAAGCGGCTCTTTTTGGACTTCCTGCTCTTTAAGTCTAGCCTGAAACATATCGATTTTTCGACTCAGCTCGGGGCTATCCTCCTCATCGGAATTCTCATGACCATTTTGGACTGGCATTTCATTTGTTTGCGTGGCCTTGTCCACCAGGAAAAGTCCAGTCTTGGTGGATACTTGATCCTCTCCCGCTGCAAGCTGCATTTGGTCAAACAGGATGTTGGCCAGCCGACACTCCTGCGTGTTCCTGCGTACTGCGGCAATCTAAGAGAGTAGTAGAAACATGACATCCATGACTTCTGTAGGCCATAGATCCACTTACCGTCTTAACCATGGCCCTTTGATATATTTGTGCCGCCAGGCAGGCCTGTTTCGCCTTGTCCTCCAGTTGATACAGGCTGGCGGGAATACAGGACCAGGCAGTGGGTTTGTGGTGATTCCGGGATTTGCTGGCCCACGCGCACACATTCTCCTGCAGCTGGCGCTCCAAATAGAGAACATACTGTTTGCGAACCTTATAAAAAAAGGAAACTAAGGATCCTCCATCAAGGACACTTCCTGTTGCCAATGTCTTACCACCTCCGTAAGGACCACAAACTCACTGTGGCCATCGTGTAACATGTTTATTTTCTGTCTGGATTATAAATACTAGTCACATTAATTGCCTTATTTCATTTTATTTATGTTTTAAAACGGTTAAGCCGGGCTTAAAGCCAAATAAGAATTTAAACAAATTACATGTGTTGCCACCTGGTTGAGAAACAGCTGATACGTCGAAAGGTGTGGCCAGACCCCTAGATTTTTTTAAAATAGCACAGTTTCTCTTCACTTCTTGAATTAAATATTTATTTTAATTTAAACACAATTAAGAAATTTGTATGTACATACTTTTTGAGTTTTAGATGTTTAGTTTTCTTAAACAGTGACATTAAAGCAGATATAAATAATATCGAAGTCTAAAATTTTTTTAATGAAAATTCAATATTGAATGTTTATTTTAAAAAATGTATTTTTACAGACAACAGTATTACAAAAGTGTTTGGTTTTATGTTTTGAAACGGAAAAGCTGATATTATAATATGTCAATACATTTATTTTATCGAGGTAAACACTGTTCCAGTGCCTATGTACAAAATATATCAATAAAAGCATATCAAACTACAAGTAAGAAGGTTCATTATATAAAAATAAAGCAATTAACTGTCAACAGTAGTTGATTTATGCAGAGCCAACGGAATTGTATATTCCGTGTTGTTTATTACAAATCGTTATTTCGAACAACAACAAAATTAAGCGTGAGGAGAAACTATTATAAATATATATGATTAATTATGTTTTAGGGCTAAACTTCTAAAGCCGCGGCCAATATTTGGCTTAATTTTGAATATCAATCGATCTCGATTCACTGCCTGCCTATCTGCCAGTTAGTCCAGAAACATGTTGTCGTCGTCGAAGGTGAAGACGTTGTTGCGGGCTGGCTGGGCGGGATTAGCGGACACCTCCGGGCGTCCTCGGCCACTACTTTCCGCCGTGGTCTGGCTAGCGATGCTGCTGCTGTTGTTGGCCGGCGAGGGATTGACCTGTGTTCCTGTGGCGGTGCTGACCGAGCTCCTAGCAGAGTCAGCCCCCGCTTCTGGCCCGAATCCGTCCAACATGACGAACTCCTCGTCGGCATCGCTGCCCTCGTCCGCCAATGACTTCCGGCAGATGGGACAGGTGCTGTGCAAATTGAGCCATGGCACGATGCAGTTCTCGTGGTACAGATGCGAGCAGGGCAGCTTGCGTACCATCTCGTCTATCTTGAAGTCGTCCCAGCAGATGGAGCACTGGATCTTGCGATCCACCTCCTCGGCACTGATCTGCACATTGGGTATCTCGTTAATGCGCTGCGCTGACAAGGGCGGCGGTCCCGAAGTCTCCATTTGGTTTAGCATCTGGGTGACAATGGTGTCCAGACCCTCGCGGCCCCAAGCGTAATCTCCAGGGTTGCCCATGAAGAACATGTGCGAATTGCCGCCTCCACCGACTCCTCCTCCGCCACCTGGCCCGGTCACTATTTCCGCCGTGGCGCCGGCCAGTGGCAGGCTCTGCAGAAAGTCAAAGAGCACATTGTCCAGCCGATCCAGATTGGCGGGACGCACTCGTCCACCGGCAGTCAGGCCGCCGCCACCAGCGCCACTGCCCGAGGGACCGGTGAAGGCACCCAGCATCAAATTGCTATGCCGCCTGTTTGGCTCGATGGTGATCTCCAGGTTGGACACATTTCGCATGTTCAGCAGCGACACTATGTCGTTTCGCAGCGATTCCACATTCACCTGCGATCCGCCCGATGAGCTGCCCCTGCTCAGGGTGTCGTGGGAGCCAGAGGAGCCGCTGCCACTGCCACTGCTTCCGGATCGTCCACCGCCGGGTGCTCCAGCTGCCGGAGAAGCAATCTCCGGGGCGTTTGCCGGCAACTCCTCCACGAAACCGTTCGCGCACAGCGGGCAGGTGAAGTCCGAGTTGGGAATGTTGATCTCCACGTTGCACATGTGGCAGAAGAATCGCTTGGACTCGGCGGACCGGTCCTCCACCACCATTGCCTCTGCCATCCTGCCGGAGGTCCTTTATTTCGTGTAGATTCGGCTCACGGTTAGCGATTGTGCAAGATTGTCGTTGGTTTCTTTCGTGTGTTCGTGGCCGGCGACTCTAGACGTTGCTTTGCACTGTGGAGGACGAGGTAAACACACTCTGGCCCACGCCGGTCATTGGGTCCGTTCAAAACTATTGGGAATTTAAAATTAATTTATATTTTTCTATAAATAAGGCGTTTTGAGAGTGGCCCTTGGCGCAGAAGAGGCGAAATCTTGCTGGTAGGGAGTGCGCTGGCGCATTATGGTCACATTGAAAGTTTGTTTGTTATCGGTGTTGCTGCCAACTCTGAAAAAGTAGCCAATATTAATAGTTTTTTAGCTAAAATTTTATTGTGATTTTCTTTTATTGTATGCTAAAAATTGTATTATAAGATAAGTTTAGTTTTTTACTTTATATCAAACTTATCCAACAATTGCATATCTTTTAATTTGTCTTAGTGTTAAGGAATATAAATTTAAAACTTAAAAAAAGAAAATCATATAGCTTGAAAGTAGCCAATTTCACTGACCAGCTCTGTAAGTTGGCGTTGCCACCTTACTCCGATTAATCTAGTCAATTTTAGCCCCTTTAACACTCGCGCTCTGGCAACACAGGGCGAAAACAAAAAGTCATCTTCTCAGGCGGCGTTTAGCATTTAGCAAAATTTATATCTTCCTGCTGATTAAATTGAGTTGAGCAAGGAGCACCACCACCGTCACAATGTCGATTCTAGCCTACAACGGAGGATGCGTAGTGGCCATGCGCGGCAAGGATTGCGTGGCCATAGCCACGGATCATCGATTCGGTGTCCAGGCCCAGACGATCTCTACGGACTTCAAGAAGGTGTTCCACATCGCTCCGCGAATGTTCCTTGGACTGACCGGCCTGCAGACAGACATCCTGACGGTCCGCGATCGTCTGATGTTCCGCAAGAATCTATACGAGACGCGCGAGAACCGAGAGATGTGCCCCAAGCCCTTCTCGGCCATGTTGTCCAGCTTCCTGTACGAGCACCGCTTCGGTCCGTACTTCATTGAGCCGGTGGTGGCTGGTCTGGACCCCAAGACCCTGGAGCCCTTCATTTGCAACATGGATCTGATCGGCTGCCCCAACGCCCCCGACGACTTTGTCGTGGCCGGCACATGTGCGGAGCAGCTGTACGGCATGTGCGAGACCCTGTGGAAACCAGACTTGGAGCCCGATCAGCTCTTCGAGGTCATCGCCCAGTCCATGATGAACGCCTTCGATCGCGACGCCATGAGCGGTTGGGGCGCCACCGTCTACATCATCGAGAAGGACAAGATCACGGAGCGCACGCTGAAGACCCGCATGGATTAGATGGATGTTAAGAGTTCCCTTGGTGATTTTGTATACAACATTAACCGAAATACACAATACAAATAAAATTTGTTAAGGTACAACATAAGCGTGATTCTTTCGTGACCAAGACATTGGCTTCAGTCCTTATTGGTCTTTCTTGATCTTGATTTAACACTGTATTTAACAACTTAATTTGGCTGTTTTTGGAAAGCTGCTTTTTCATGTTTGGGTCAAGTTATCTTTGTGTTTTTGTAGGATATTTGGTACAGTATGCAACCTTCTATTTTAATAACCTTAGCTTTCTATCACCAACACCTCATTGTTTGATTAGTACCTTTAAATAAAAATTGATTTACGAAAATAAGTGATTAGGTCCTCCTTAGGTTCTCAGCAGTTTAAAACAGTCAGCCTCTCTTCTGATGGCCGTATGTTTATCAATATAGATAGTATTTCTACGACCCATATTTGGGCCACGTTATCCTTTCCTTTTTGCCAAAAGAAATTGCAGTCTTTTTATTCTGCTAAAACACTTCATTAGAGCAACACCTTTTTTGTTACATTTTTGCTTTATGCTCAAAATACAAAAAGTATTAAAGAAATCATTAAAATATTTAATGTATAAAAAAAATGGTCCCTTTTGTAATTTGAAAAAAAAAATCGACCAATTTAACCCCTATAAAAATAGTTGGAAAAGTACACATTCTTTGAATTTATTACTCATCCGCCCACTCAATGGACTTCTTGGCCAATAACATCGCGGCCTCCTCAGTTTTGGCTCCGCCAATAAACCCGCTGTGGTGCACGAATATGAGATCTTTGATTCCCGCCTTCTCACTCAAATCATCGTCTCTCAATCCTCGCCAGGGTGTGGGCAGGAACTTGCGTCCCAAAAAGCTGCTGGGGGTCACTGGGACACCGGCCACGCGCCAACTGCTGCCGTCGTTGAAGACAATTAGCTTGGGGACACCCTCCACCTGGTACTCCTTCTCCAAATCCGCGAGGTGAGCCTTCCACGGGCAGAAAACCTTCAGCACAAGAATCTCGCCGGATGGATGGACGCTCTTAGCCTGTTCCAGAGCCGCTCGTACATGGTCCCTGGCCGCAATCCAGGAGCAGGCCACCTCCACCACGTTTTCCACAAACTCCCGGCCAGCTGTGTCCATTGCCTGTCGGAATCGCTCCTCGATATCCACTCCCACCTCCTGCCAGGAGGGATTTAGCTTGCCAATGCGGGCGGATAGATGGCTGGAGATTTTGTATAATGCCTCGCCGCCCTCGAACATGGGCACTCCGTTGTCGATGGCGTCCAGTTCGCTGATGAAATTCCTGTAGATCTGGACGAAGGCCAGTTGCAGGTTCTCCGGCGAGAGTTGAATGCCCTTCTCACGCTGCAAGATGCTCTGGATGACCCGCTCGCCATAGTGGGAGTAAACCAAGCCGGCACTGCTAAGTCTAGAGGGGATTGTCTTTGGATAAACACGAATCTTTTGAGTGTTTTCCAACAAATCTCACCTGATAACATTGAAATCTTCGCTGACTTCCGGGCGAATGGACTTGAATGTTTCCTTGAAGGTTTGCTGATGGTGGTCGTACCATTTCTTGGCATGATCATACTCGCCACCCACATCCACTATGATGTCGCATTTTTCTCGCAAAGCTTTGTCGTCGCGGCTTCTAAAAATCTCAGCGTTCTTGAACTCTTCCAATTGCTTGAGCATAAAGCAGGCAACAACTTCATCGCAATGGAAAGTGCCGTTGTGGGTGCCAATCCACAGTGAAGAGCGCTTTGGTGGGGAACCTCCAGTCATTGTTAATAGTTGTCCTGCAAAGAATACTTAAGTTATTTTAATATTAAATAGTTTTTGGCAAAAACTTACGAAAACGCGGTAACAATCGGAACATTAGATGTGGAGCTTTCCACTACCACATGCGATTATCGCATTTTGATAACATCATCAGTGTAACCAAGGTGGATGGGAGAAAAATCGATTTATCATAGATTCAAACCAGTTTTTAAATAACGAAAAACTGAAGTGTGGCAACTCAACCAACGGTTTTTTGAATCAGAAAAAAAAAGACGCAACTTTAAAATTAATTTATTATAAAGTTTATACTGCTTTACTTAACTCATTTTTTAAAAAACATAAAATATTTCTTAAGATCTGTACCAAGCACTGCCAGCTCATTAGAAATGTTAGCCTCTCACCACCACTCAATTGCATGGGCGTTCATGTGGATCCTAAAAATTAGCATTAAATGGCTAATTTGTTAGACAACAACTTATAGGAACCAAATAGCTTTTTTGGCTGTTTATTAGAAAATCATTGGTTGAAAATTTCAGTAAGGCTTCGCAACTCAAGCCCCACGCATGGCTATATTGGATAAAGCGAGCTACAAAAAATAGATTTTCCCAAATGGCAGAAGCCCGCTTGCGCCGAAATATAAGTCGGCAAGTACCCGCAATGTAAGAGTGAAGAGTAAACAAGATCATTAAAAAATACCCGGGAATTAAAAACACATTATATTGACCTACTGAGTGATTTTGATTACATAATCGGCTGATGCCTTAAGTTATTTAAATTTCACATTTCCGTTAATTGTGAGCTGGAACTGACGAACAATAATTAAAACCAAAATAGTAGTCAAGTGCCTATGTGTGTGTGCGTAAAAAAAAACATAAATCACTGCCGACAACAATGATCACGTGTATCGTTTAATACCAATTGTTGCACAGGCATTTTTCTCTGTTTTCAGCCTCCCACGACCTTCAACAAGATGCAAAAGCTCGGAAATTGAGTGGAAAAGGAAGCGCAGATCGTACGAAACTCGTTTTTCAAACACTTCTCCAATTGCATTGCGAAACGCACCGCAAATTAAAGTGCAATTTGTCCCGACACCACCGTCGCATTAAATAGGGGTTTCTGGGGGTTTAAGGGCAGTACTAATCGATGCAGACACGCTTATCACAATCTGTACTCATTTCGACCCCAGCTTCTTTCAATTAAGCTTAAAATTCCGATTACGTTAAAGTTCATTGCCACTGAGCGAAATATGAGCTTGTTCACATTTACCTTAGTAATTATATTTTCACGCCCATGAACAAATAAGCAAATGCCACAGGCAAATACCTTTTAGCACTTAGAACTAGGAATTCGAGTTCGAGGGTATATTATGGTTATAAATCGTTACTTTTTACTCATTTGCAAATTTTTTACCTTTACAAAACTTTACGTGCTTGAAAAATCACCGCTGGCATTTCATTATGTTTATTTATTTCGCACGTTCAAGCAGTTCCTGGTTGTTAAATGAAATAACTTAATAAATATAGCTTTAAAACGACCAGAAGGGTATCTTATGATTGGGACACCGAACTGTCGTTACGTATACGCCCATTTAACTTATATTAGCGCCGTTTTTTTTCATATGAATTGCTTAATTTCACAAATATGTGAGTAATGCATAAACGCGTGAAAATCACTTAAAAGGCAATTATTTGGAGCACTCGGGAAATAGATTTTTAACTTGGGAGGCGATGACTTTTTACCAATTTGTACACCCAGAGAAAGACACCATATTTAAATGTTACATGTTTTCAAAATATAAACTTACTTAAAATAAACTTAAACAATGTAGTTACTAACATATTTAATTGGTTTGTCGAATATGATTATTGCTGTTTTTTGTTGTTTTAAATTTAAAACTAAGTTTATCTATACTTTAAAATAGAAATGAAAGTGTAACACACTTTGTTGTAAACACAACACCCTTCAAAGTGAAAGTATTTGGACTTACCATTATTTTTCTCTTGGTGTACCTTTAAATCATTAAGTATGTAGGTTTCAAGTGAATTAAGTTATGCAGGTTTTAAAGAAAAGTGGATAGTTACTTTATAGTATGGTTTTCCTAGCCATTGTGCTAAGTTATTTATTTGTGCTTAAGTGAACTTAAGTAGATTTACTGTATTTATAGAGGGCGAGATCAAAGAGACTGGGACACACTTGGGTTTCTATTCATGTGTGTCGGGTTTATGCAACTGTCGTTTGAGTATTGCGATAACTTACCTTTTCCTACTTGTGTTTGCATACTACACAATACGACTTTGTGTATATTCTTGCCTTTGCCTGAACCGGAATGCTGAATGTGTACCCAAGTTGCTCTAAAGATCCAGCCAGAATAAAATGTTTTTCTTTTTTTATGAATGCCAGATCGATTCCGATTTCGATTTAGTGGAAAGATTTAGTACCGGGCAGTGGTGAGGCAAATACGTAAAACAAAAAACAGGTTTGTCAGCGGCTCAATTGTTCTCTCCAGCTCAATGAATATTTTTTTTATTTTTTAAAGGGGTTGCTGCTGTTTGCTTTTCTAGCCGCCAAATTGGTTACCGAATTTCCTACATTCCAAATTGACAAAAATGCCAGGCGAGAGCTTTTGTGTCGTTCAATTTCTGGGCTCCGATTTGTAAGCCGAGCTTAATGGAAAGCTTCGCTGTAACGGGACAGAAATTTGCGCTTGGCTTCGGTTTCAGTTTGTTTTGACCGCGCAACACGCTCAGGTGTTAAGCGTTTGGGTCCCCCAGCTTGACAAATCGGTCCGGAATAAAAATATACACAAATCTGAAATATTTACACCTGAGCTTAACTCAACGTTGCACGGTACAAGTTCGTTGCAGAAATATAAGTTGTTCCGCCTGGCGGCTTTGAGAACCTGTTCGAAATTCGGCAAAAAAAGGGGTTCGCAAGTTCAACACTCGGCTTAAACCTTTTGGAATCCCTTGATAAATCGCCCATTTGCGTATAATTTATGTGACATCGATTAAGTGCAGTGTTTCAACTTCAACAGCAAGTTATTTCCCTTGCACGCAATGTTAACCCACATCTCGAGATAACCCTTATTTAGACAGAAGTTTGCGGTTGCGGTTTCGGCTGCAATTTCTTGGCCATTAACCCATTGACATATCGCCTTTAATGAGCGGCTCCATTGTGCAACACTTTGTCGATCACGATGTTTGCTTTTGGTTAAAAAAAACAATTACAAATTATGGCATAGAAAATAAAGTCACACAGAAACAAAAAAAATGTAATGTTTTATGAGCATTTAATGAACATTTTAATTTCAAAATTAACTTTGCTTTAATGGCATTAAAATGATAAATACATCTATTTACTCAAAAGATTAAATATTTCATTGAAATATATTAACGCTTTTGAAATCAATTTGTTAAAATGAATAAAATAACAATAAAGTATACCAAATTATGCATTTAAGAAAATAAATATAGAGCTTTTGTAAGATGAACTTGTGAATTTGAAAATAAAAATGGATTTTGCATAAATTAATACCAACTAGACATTTTCACACATTAATTAAAAATTCGAATATCAAGTTACAATTTTTTTTCAATGCATAAACCAGAAATAAACAAGAATATGGAGAAATTAAGAGAAAATACCTGTAACAGTTGGGGTGAGCCGCATTAAACGGTGGGCCGCTGTGGACGTTTTTCGGTTCATCTTGAAAATTTAGTTTTAACCGGTTTCGTTGGATCCCGTGACCAAAATGCGATTTATTACGCTTCTCATAGAAATCGTACCATTCAACCACTACTCTAACCCTTTGCATCTTCCATGAACTGGTTTTTATGCTCAAGGCTTTTCTTTTTCTTTTGCCTTCTTCACAATTTCGGTTTACTAAGCTCATATGCATAAATTACATGCAAATGTCTATAAATCTTAATTTTTTGCCTAATATGTGTTAGGAGATTTCTTTAAAAGAAACCAACGAATGTCACGTGAGAAGTGCAAAAGAGTTTTAAATATGTAAAATAAACTTTTAATAATATGTGATATCATGATGACTATTTAAATATTAAAGAGTGCCATAAAATTGAAAAATTTGTATTACCTTTGAATGTGTACATTCCCTATGTTAGGGTATAAAAAGAAATTATTTTCGATTTGTGTGCATATAAACACGTAACATTCAATTGTGTCAAAAACTTTAGCTCTCCCAATCGCATAATAAACAAGGCGAAAGAAAGCAAGGCAAAACAAGAAGACCAATAAATGTCCAATTATAAACGTTTTTTGTTTGTCCGTGATTTTGAAAGGTTTTGTACCACTTAGCACTCGATAAATAATTATAGTGATCAACAATGATGGTGCCTAACTAAGTGAAAAAAGCCATAGTTTGATCGGAATATACATTCATAAGCACATAAGGCAAGCAGTCACTTGAGCAAACAAAAGGGTGCATTAAGTATACGCCACGCATCAAGTATACGACGCGATGTCCAATGGCAAGGCTGCTGCCGCAGCTGGCGGCACAGCTGAGAAAAACGGGTAAAGTCGCACACTTTATAGTTCTCGCTTAGACAATAACCAATACTTAATTGCCACCTAAAACTAATCGAATGCAAAAACACACACTTTTCCGTTGCAGCTCTCTGAACGATCGGCCATTGTTCATGCAAAATGGCAATGGGGCACGAGTTGCAACCGCTGACGTGGAAGTCAGCAACTTCCGACGCGCCCTTCCACAGTTTTTAGCTGTTAGTATTAAGAACATATTGCTATTCGGTAAATAACACGCATTTTGCAGCTACCAAAACATCTGGGGGAATGAAATTCTCGATACTACTAGCACCATGTTAAAGTCATTTTTCCTAACATTTTTTTAAAAATTAATCGACGCTTTTTATTTCTAAAATAAAGGTAATGATAATATTTTTAGACCATTTTTAGCTTCTAGGAGTTTTCTGAGTGTAGTCATTTTATTTTGTCTCCCCGTAAAAAAGGTTCATTTGTGTTGTTCTCATTAATCATAATTAAAGTCAGAGGTAAAACGCAACCGCCTGTAATTATAGAATTGCTATTGCCTATGAACATTCATCACTTTGCTATAAAAACTTTAAATTGAAAACTCATTGTAAAAAAACAAATTTTTTTTAAATCAATATAAATTTTTGATGTATTTGTAATGTATTTGAATAAAACTTGCTCCTTCGAGTTCACTAGATCGAATGGAAAAAGCTTTATTAAAATAAATATTTAAACAATTTAAATATTTAAGGTGAATTTATGAATTTAAAAGTACAATACTTGATCCTTCAAATTCTGATCAATTGACATAAGTATATATGTCTCATTCAAAAGTTCCTTGATTATTTAATTCTAGACCTTTACAGATATTTGATTTCATTCCCCTAAAACTGAAACAACTAGATAGATTTAGTTATTTTTGACTACTGCATCGATGCGATATCTTTTCGTCCTTTTCTCAGGGTATGGCATGACCTTGGGCTTCCCCACCATCGTGATACCCGCCATTCAAGGTGGTGAAGGACGCAGCGAGACCAGCGGCGACATAGTCCTCAACAAGGACGAGATCTCTTGGTTCAGTAAGTGGCCAAAGTTTAAATTTAATCTGCCTTCTAAGGCATCTTTACCTTAAGGTTCCATTAACCTGATTTGCGTGCCTCTGGGATGCCTATTCTCCGGACTTCTCACTCAACCACTGGGAAAACGACGAGCCATGCAGGTGGGTGTACGAAAAGCTAAGTTTATATACCCTTGAAGCTATTTCAAAAAATTAAATGTGCTACAAAAATAACTTTATTTTATTATTAACTCACTTTGTTTAAAAATTATAAAGCTATGTTAGTTTTCCGGTAAAATTTTCAATCGATCTTATGACCAGTTTTTACAATACTAAGGCCGAAGTTCTTAAAAGGCAATCGATCAAGATTTGGCAGGCACCTATTCAAATCCGAAATTGAGCAATTGTAACCTTAGCTTTTGGTGTAATTTTTTTGGCATACACATGAAGAGACACAAATTGCTCCCAATTCCCACTTAGTCGCAATCATCTGCGGCTCATCAGGTTCCAGCAACAGCTCCTCCGATTACAGATTACCGATCGCTCGGTGCACTGACACACTGAGCTCGAATCGAGCTGCGTGACTTAGTGGGGCTTATGCAATTATGTTTAACCATCCGAGCTCACCAAACCCATCCCATCCACCCGCCCACTCCGTATTGTATTTAACATATTGTATTTACTTGTAGTTTGTCAACCTGCCGATTCTGGCCGCCTGGCTGATGTTTCACTTCGCGACGCGCACGGAGCACCTGTATGCGGCTTTATGCTTGGCTGGTCTTGGGGGCGGATTGATGGAGGCGCCGGTAAGTGAATCCCGACCACACGGATTAACTGCTCTGAAATATACCCATAAGTCAAAATATCCATATTAATCCCATCACGTGTGAAATCTCCCTTCAAAGCTTTGTTTATCTATTCATTTGCAAATTCCCTCAGAAAGGGGGATCACTTTTTCCCCATCTCTTTGTATTTGTTAGCTAAGTTGCTGAAACCGCAAAATAATACAGCTGCAAACGAATTTAAGGAAAACCTTTACCCATAAGCTTTACATATAACAACTGATCAAACGTTTAGAACAAATTAATAAAATGTACTTAGCTTTTCAATCAAAGATTTAAGCGAGTAGCAGGGAAATGCAAGCAGGCAAAAAACACTTTCTTGATAAATAAAAAAAATGTTTATAGATAGGTAGAGCTATAGAGATTAATGGATCGTAAGAATTTGTTAGCAATAAACACAGATTGAAAAGTATAAAATATTAATACTGTTTGTTAAACACTTAGTTATGTCTCAACACCTTAGACAGTGTTTTAAAATTGTTAAGTGGTTGACATTTGAACAACCTACCTTTTAATAAAAAGAGTAGATTCAAGTAATTATAGTTATATTTAAACTTTTCAAGCTTTGATTTTCCATATTTTGAATTTGATTTAATTTGACTAGTTACGGAATAAATTTAAATATCTGAAATAATTGATTTATATCAGGACATTTTTTGGCTTCAATATTTTTCTTTTAAATACAAATATTTTAATATCAAATGATGCAATCTAATATGAATTGTGTTTACAATGCTTTTATATTAAGATTAATTATGCAATTAGAAATTTGGGATTCGGTAATTTTATGTTCTATTTTTCTATTTTTTTAACACTGATACATTCTTTTTTACGGTTTTAAAAATTGCTTTGTTCCGAATCTTTTTACTTCGCATTAAATATGTATTGTTAGTCTTGTAGACTGGCGTGTCAGGCTGAATTTTTTTGTTAAAGAGGCAGGTAAGGAAGTACTTCCTCCCGGACTTGAGCATTCCGCAGCCCATCTTCCGGTTCTTCTCGTAGATCAAGTTGGCGAACACAGTGAGGTGGTCACTCTGGGCTAATTTTGGAAAGCTTGACACGTAGTCTTCCGGGAAATCGTTGTGGTATTTGAACCACATCAAAAAGAACTTGAGTGCGCTAAATTCCTTAGAACTTTCGCTCAGTAGTACAAAATCCGAGGACTCGCCCACGTTTTTATAGCGAAAGGTGTTTACACAAGGTGAGATGGAATGGTCGGAGCACTGATTGGAGACCCTCATCGCAATCACTGATAGCTCCTCGTCCCAGGAAATATCCGGCAATTGTTCTGCCTTGGGCAGATTGAAAACTTCCCCTCGCACAACTTTTTTTCGAAAATCGTTCAAGGCTCTCAAAATTTCGTTCCGCTGGTTGGTCAACATTATGCCCGTGTGGCTTTTGCCGCACTTGGGACCCCACTAAAAACATTGAATAAAATGTGATTTTAAAATTGATTGTCAATGCATTACTCACAAATCGTACGCCACAGGTAATATGTTTTAGATTCCCCGGACAAAGGTTTCCATTGCAGTAATCCAGTGGCTTAAAAAATTGGGAGCGTTAAAGAACAAGCTTAAACATATAAAATAGTCACCACAACCTTTATTGGTGGATTATAATGCTTTTTCTGCATATATTTTGGCCATCGAGTGCGGTAAACAATGGCGCATTCGATACCTATCACAAGTAGTAAAAACCACAAAAGTAGCATCTTCCACGTCGTTTTTACTGCTACTGATTTTATGCATATTGAAACTTTTTTATTTGTAAATAATTGCAATTTCTATGCTTATATCGTAGGGGTTGTTCCGATTTTTTGTGGGCTGGATAAAACGAACATTTAAATTTAGATGAACTGTTTTATTACATGTCCAAAACCTGTCGTTTTCCATGAATGTCCAAAACTATTTCATAAAAAAAAAAATGGTAACTAAATTATACACAAATTCCACTGAACTTTTTCACTCGATTCTCCTAGCTTTTTTAAGATTTTGCATCTGCAATTTCAAATTTAAGTTCAGTTTGTTAATGTCAATTCTTGATTGCAACTCATGATTGCATCTTTTGGCACACATATTTCTTTATGCAACAATGGTTTGCTCATCGCCAGTTGGCAGTTCGGAGTGCTGCTGACCTTGGCCAACTCCTTTAGAGCTTTTTTCTGGCTCTCGCTACTTGAGGTTGCCACAAGCTATTAGTGTTTCAGTATTAACCTTCTAACTCCTCAGACTTTACAAGAAAATGTCGTATAATATGAAAGGTATGCTTAAAAGAATTGTAAATATTTTCAAACAAATTCCATATTTTATTTGTAAGTTTTCTTTGAAATCTACTCATTATAAACTTATAGAACATTTTAACAATTTAAAATATATCATTTAAGTAGGCATACAGAGGGTTAAACTTTAAAACATTGATGAGATACAAAGGAAGGCCTCAGACAAAGCTATTTGCAGATGTGGTTTTAACTAGACAAAAAACAAACTTAGAGGTATAATGTCACTCGCCTAACGACTCGTTTCCATTGCAGGTGCTCACCTATGTGGCCGAAATCACGGAGCCCAAGTACCGCGGCATTCTGTCCGCACTGGGAACCACCTGTGTAATCACCGGCGTTTTCATCCAGTTCATCCTGGGGTCTCTGATGGACTGGCGCAGTGTGGCGGCGGTGAGTTCGGCCTTTCCGGTGATCACCATCATTATGCTGTGCTTTGTGCCCGAGAGTCCGGTTTGGTTGATCCGGGAGCAGCGTTTCCGGGAGGCGGTGAAGTCCCTGCAGTGGCTGCGTGGCTGGGTGCCGGAGCACATGATCGAGGCAGAGTTCAATCAGCTGTACGACGAACTGATCACCCAGAAGGCCATTGAGCTGGCCGCGGATGGGGCTCCTCTGCCGGGTCAACGACGCACGATTGGCCAACGCCTGAGGATGTGGAGGAAACGTAGCTTCTTGGTGCCATTCCTTCTCGTGTCCTTCGCCTTCTTCACCGGACACTTTTCCGGCAAGACACCGCTGCAAACATATGCGGTGCAGATTTTTCACACCCTCAAGGCTCCGATGAACAAGTACCATGCCACCATTCTCTTGGGAGTCGCTGAGATGCTGGCCACCATCTTGGGTGTGGTGCTAATCCATTTTACGGGAAAAAGACCCCTGGTTTTGGTTTCAACAGTTGGCACTGGTCTTTGCTTCTTCGGCACGGCCACCTATGCCCATTTCCTTAGCGAAGTTCCGGGTTTTACGGTCAACAATGTAGTGGTCAATGCCTCCTCGATTGTGCCGAAGGAGGGCATCCTCTCGCAGGCGAACATCTCCAGGATATTTGAGACAGAACAGCAGGCCATCAGGCAGGAAGCGGAACACTTTACTACCCTGCTGCCGGAAATGGAGACAACCACGACAATGTTCGAACCGGAAACTACTTATAATCGCAGTAAAAGGGAGGTTGATGACATGATGACCACCGATGCCTTCATGGAGACTACAATGTTTCCGGAGTTAGCAAGCAGTACAGCCTCGTCATCCTTGGCCCCACCTTCCACTTCGGCAAAGCCAGCCATTGCGGAGGATCTTCTGCTGGTGGTGCCAAAACAGGAACACAACTACCTGGTCTGGGTGCCACTCATCCTCCTGCTGCTCTCCGCCTTCTTCTCCCATTTGGGCATCCGCATGCTGCCCTGGATCCTTATTGGCGAAGTATTTCCGGCTGAAATACGCAATACGGCGTCGGGTTTTGCCGGTGGTGTGGGCTACATATTTGGCTTCCTGGCCAACAAGCTTTTCCTGGTGATGCTAAGTGCCTTGACTCTGCCCGGAACCTTTGCCTTCTATGCCACTGTGGCCTTCGTGGGAACCATTGTGCTGTACTTCACGCTTCCGGAGACAGAGGGTCGCACTCTGGGCGTAAGTATATGGGGACATCTATAAAAATGTCCCAACTTAAATCTTGAGTGAAATTTTAATTTTTCTAATTTAAATTGAAGGAAATCGAAGCTCACTTCTCCAAGAAATCCGACATGAATTTGCTTCGCAAGCAGCCCAGCAAGAAGTTGCCCAGCAGGGATGATGCACAGCATCCCGGCAGTGCCATCAATGTCCAGGGCAGCTTCCATGTACCCATCACCTCGCAGCAGCAGGCCAAGATCATCCACTTGCAGCAGAGTGACTTTGCGCCCCGTCCCCAAAACGGACGGGCAGCCGGAGTGGGGATGTCCAACCCGGCCTTCGAGGAGAGCAACACCACACATTTGTGAGTGGCTGTGTCATCATCTAAACATCCTCTCCAAGTGCTTAACATTCCAGTGATATTTCTGAGAAATAAACTTAACTATTTAGATTTATGTATATGATATGGTCTTTTACCTAGTTTGGGCTTCAATATTTTATTTTTAAAATTATCTAGTTCATCAAAAGGAAAAAAATACTGACTTTTCATTAAATTACTTGGGGTTGGAAATGGTTTTGGGTGGGGTTTCTTTACTTTATAAGCAATAACGAATTAATTTATAAGTATTTGGAAGAAGGTGACGAAAAGCCTGTTAAATATAATTTGAAGAACGGGGCTTAGAAAACCTTTGCTTCATTAAAAACACTTAGAAAGAGCGCTGAATCCAAGTCCACGAAAGTTTCAAGCGAAAATATAAAAGAGCCAAAAACTAGTCTCAATGTTTAACTACTTTTTATGTGAACTCGACTTTTAACGTATTTTAAAGCATGCTTATAAGTAATATTGTATAACACATTTCCAGGGAGATATATAATTGTATGTGGATGCAGCAAAGGCGTTAGCAAGAATCTGGGACTTGGTTTCTAGGTCTCGTCGTCTTGCAGCTCGAGGAATTGTGTGCAGATGTCGCGACTGCACTCGCCCTTGTTGTTGAATAGGAATTTATAATAATGGCCGTCCGCACAAATGGCTGCATGAGAAAAATAATTGCGATTACAGTGTTCCCAGGGGAGGCTCATCTCTACCGCTTCTACTCACCCACAACCGAATTGGGATCGGCTCCAAAGGCACAAACGCAACGTGGTCCCTGGGGTATTGAAAACTTGACAAAGCTCCACTGGCTCGAGAAATACTTGGGTATTATGGGCAGCGAGGATTCACGGGGCTTGTTGTCCTCCAGGTTGAACACATGGATTGTGCCGTGGTCGGAGGCGACCACTACCATGGTGGACTGATGGTTGAAGTTGATGCAAAAGATATTGGCATGGTTGCTGCCCCGTCTCAACTCGGACACCTTCTTTCCGCTCTCCGTGTCGAAGATGCGAATGAGGGTGCCCTTCTCTCCGGCGGTGGCCAGTCGCGTGCCCTGCAGATTCAGAGCAATGCAGCTAATGCCCGCCTCGTGGGCAATCACCTCCAGTGGGGCGCGTTCCGTGTTGGCCAAATCAACGATCTGAACGTGGCCAGTGCGTCGGCCGGGAAATGCGAGGAGGCTCTTGTTGCTGTGCGGGCACAGCACACATAATCCATTGGGATTGGAGCTGGTCTCAAAGACATGCAGCTGCTGCGGCTGCTGGGTGAAGGTGAACACCTTGATAACGCCCTCCAGCACAACCACGATCCGATCCCGCCGAAGTCGCACCGCCCGTACGGGCTGATTGAAGTCTAGCGATATGGCCGGTGACTTCTTCAGGTCGTCCCACACAATTACCTTGTTGGGCGGATACAGCGGCCGGATGCCACCGCCCACTAGGGCCAGATAGTTGCAGCGGAACAGCATCTCAACATGGCTGAGACCACCTAAATGCAAGACAATGGGATACGGATTTAGAACGTGGGAATGTGACAGTTTCCATATCATCTTATACCCTCTGGAAAGTACTGGCGCTCCTTCTCCTTCAACGGATCACAGTTGTACACCCGGAATCCTGTGTCCGTTGCACAGGCAAAGCATCCTGCAACGCAATAGTATATATATTATATGGACTTAGTTTATCGCATAGGTAAACAACACACATCCGCACAACGTACGCACCCTGATCTTGATTAAAAGCGGCGTACAGCAGTCCGTTTCCGTACGGATTCTGCTCCGTTAGGTTCATTGCACACTCTCCGGAAAAGCTGGAGAGCCGGGCTCTGGCGAATTCCAATTCAGTTAAAAAGGGGGCAGGAAGAAAACAATCAGTCGGACGGCGGATGATTTTATGTTTTTTCGTATAAAAACAATGGAGCAGTGTTGGCGGACGTCGCAAAGTGACCGGTAAATCGATAACTTCCTATGAGTGACGATTATCGCAAGTCCCGTTAAATCGGGATTTTTTTTTTAGCAATATAATGGGTATTAGGTAAGAAATTTAACATATGCTTTGCTTTCTAAATTTAATTTAATGAAAGTTATTGAATTTCTTTCAAAATAGTTTCAATAGGTGTAAGGAAGTTCAAGGGGATGAAAACTAAAAATCTGGGTATTTTCGAAACGTCTGATTCTCTAAATTGCTGAAAATTCAGCAGAAATATACTGAAATTCGGACAGCTGTTCGTCGGCTGTTCCATACAAAATTTAACTTCCTAAAATTTCAGCAGTTCAGCAGCCCAGTAGCTGCTTAAAATATTTAGTATGTTTTTGCTGAGTTTTCAGCAATTCAGAGATTAAGACGTTTCAGGAATACCCAGAATGTGCCACAATGTTATATAATTTATTATATTACCCAAAACTAAATTTAAAAAGGAATTCCTTGGTATTTAGTGGAAAAGGATGAGTATAAGGATAAATATCTAGCTATTAAAAATAAATCGTTTTCCTGGCCACCTCTGCCTTTGCAGCTGGCTACCCTGATAAGATTTTGCAACACTGCTAAAATGGTTCACCTCACCTCTAATCAAATAAAATAACAATATAAGTAAGTTGAATTCAGCTTCTTGGAATCCGGCGTAAAACAGAGCTCCTGCGCAATGGAGTTCAGCGCGGATCTAAATGGGTTTGACCAGGACTCCATTGAGCCCTGCAGGACCTGCGGGATTTACTTCACGATGGGTTTAGACATGGATGAGGCGATTGTAAAACCAATATTTGGCTTGAATGACGCCGCCGTCGGAGGAATGGCGGAGATAATCGAGCAGCTGAGCGCCTGGAACATTCAGGTGAGTGGTGTTTGGTTCTCCCCAATAATCCCTAATCCCTAATATTCCAAATGCATGTTCAAAGGTAATGCGGGAGGATGGACGACCGCAGTACATGTGCATTTCCTGCATTGCCGAATTCCACCGGCTGCTTAAGTTCAGGCAAAGCTGCTTGGAAACACAGGAGCAGTTTAGCGATTTGGAGTACCAACGAGAGCACGGCATTGTGATCAAGAGGGAAATCGAGTCGGAGGAGGAAAAGTTCTGCGGCTTCATATACCTGGACACGGACGAGGAGGAGATCAGCGACGAAGATGGCAGTCGTCGTGTGTGCGCCGCCTTCGATATACCACACGTGCCCATCAAGGAGGAGCACATGGCTCGTGTGCCAGTGCAGGGTAGTCCCAGTAATGGCCAGCTCCAGCCCCCAGAGTCCAAGGAACTTGGGTCGTTTGACATGATAGACAACGATATGCTGACTGCCAATATGTTTGCACCATCCAGTGAGGATGCATCCGGCACGGCCGACGATGGCGACACCGCCGAAGAGGAGGAGGAGGAGGAGGTTTTGCGATTTACATACGACGATGAAGGCGAAGACATGGCCCCATTGCCGCCACCTATTCTTTCCCCTGTTGTCTCCTGCAAACTTTGCCTCCACGAATCGCCCACGCAGGACGCCCACCTGGACCACATGTACCGCACCCATCTTCTCAAGGACTGGGAGTGCCATATCTGCGCCAAAAAGTTCACCAATGCCCCGGAGTCCCGCATCAAGTTCCACATAAAGTATCACAAACTGCAGCGGCACATAAAGTGTCCTGTTTGCGGTTTCATTTGCACCTCAAAGGCAACCCTGAAGGAGCACAAGCAGGCAGTGCACTCGCGCACCAAGTGCACATATTGTGGCAAGAGTAAGTGCTTCAATAATGATTTATCTAAAGAAATAATGGAATCATTTATATTTGTGCAGCTATAAAAAATAATATGCTACAAGGACATTTAAAAAAACATTTACTGGGTAAGTAAAATATCAGGAAAAGTTTGAGCCCGTTTTGGAACATTTTTTCTTGCCTGCAGAGGGCGAGGCGGAGCTGGCTCAGAAACTTAAATTACTGGAGCAACTACCTGTGGATAATAAAACACCGGAGGCTTTTCCTCCTCCACTGGCCTCTTCCTCGCTTGTGGTCTTCTCCGAGGACACAGAGTCCTCTTTTGTTACAGATGCTTCCACTGTTTTTACGGATTCTGATGTTCCTGAGGACTCTGCTTTTCCCAAAGACAATACTGCTTCTGAGGACTCTACTGTTCCAAAGGAACCTGTTCTTCCAATGGTCTCTGCCACTCCGACGGATGTTCCTTATCCAATGGACGCAAATCCACCAATAGATTTGCCTGCTTCCGTGGCTTCTCCTCCATCCTTGCCATCGCCTTGTGTCATTCAGTGTGCATTCTGCAGCGACACTTTTGAGGCGGCCCAGCAACTGCAAGCTCATGTGCTGGCCAACCACAAGACGAGTAGAAAAAGACTTCGGTCTTCAGAAGATCCCTCGTCAAGGAGGATGGCCAGTCCGAAATTCCAGCCCTCACCCATTCCCATGGAATCAGAGCAGCCATCAGACGATTTGCATAAAGAGAACAACGCCGACTTAGACGCCAGCACTTTCCAAATAAACGGCATCGACCAGCAGGAGAGCAGAAATGAAGTGAGTCTCAATGATAGTTCCATGAGCTCCACTGCCGAGCAGTTGCCAGAAAAATCCTACATAGCCTGTCACATCTGTGGCAGGACCTTTGACTTAAAAATTAAGCTTAATCGACATCTCAAACAGCACAATACACACACACTTTGAGCCATTCAGTTTGTAGAAGTAAGTTTTTAGCTACTTTCTATTTCCTACAGCCAAACTGGAATCGAAAGGCCTGTGTATAATTATAGTTTAGTAACTTTCTTGATTTGAATTAGTCTTTTTCTATTGGCCGCTTGAATCAAACGACTAAATTTATGTTCATTTTATTTCATCAGTTTAAAAGGCATTTGGTGAGCCAAATACTCACGTTTGGGTTTTACTTTCATTAAAAGTGAAACAAGTTTGCCCTAATAAAAGATTTATAATTCAACCCGTCAATGAAACTTCCAGAAATTGATTCATTTAAATTAGTTTACTATCGCTTGCAATGACACTTTCGCGCTTAAGTTAACGAAGTGCATTCCCATCGTTCGCTCTATCGTTTATACAAAACCCACACGAGGCTTCAATGAAAAGATCAACAACTCAGGACAATAATAAAAGAGGCTTCTTCTAGCCCGCCTTGGCAGGAACAGTAGCCTTTGCAGTGGTGGCTTTTGGAGCCTCTGGCTCCGCATCCAGTTTCTGGACGCGATGCTGATCGATGCACTGCCGGAACTGCGCCACCTCCTCCATGCATTTAAGGGTCTCGCCGGGATGCGAACGATAGCATGCGAGCAGCTGGGACTTCAGATCCTGGCAGGGTGGCACTTTGTGCGCCGATGCGGTGCTCACGAATCGCTTGTGCACATTGTCCACCGCATTGGCGTACTCCTTCTCCAGGATGGTGTTGGTCTTCTTAAGGTTTTCCTCCAGCTTCGCCATGCGGTCCTTCCACAGCTCGTCGTTCTTCACCAGCTCCTGGTTCATCTGGCGCTGCACATCCGCCGCACTGATGGTGTGTCCACCGCCGACATAAATGGGCACAGCAGCGGGATAGGCCACCTTGGGAGCAGGGGTCGCAGGAGCTGGCGAAGATGTGGCTGGCTTGGCAGGCGTCTTCGGAGACGCCTTGGGCGCTGGTTTCGAATCCTCCGCAGCGGCAGCGTGCTCACGAGCTAAAAAGAAAATAATATTGCTAATTAAATAAAGCAAAGAGGTTTTTAAATGGAACCATAGAAAACTCGAAAAATTAATGTTAATATGGGGAAACACTGTTGACAATATCGGGAAAATACTGGCTGTAAAAATTTAGCTCAATTATCAAATTTGTTTGTTAAATATTTATATAGGCGTTGAATTATCTTCCTAGTTAAGTTAAAAGTAACTATGATGAGGTGTACAAGTTAAGTAAGAAGACAATCAAGGAGATCCTTCTATAAGGCGTCTTTTACAGCACAAAAAATAGAAATTTAAGAGCTATGGGATCATCGACTTGGAATCGTTCCAGCTGACGAAGTTTTACTGTACTTGGCATAAACAATCGCTCGTTTTGACAATTGTTGCATAACACCGGAATGAGCCCAATGTCGGTTTCCGGGCGAATCGAACATAATAATTATAAATACTTTACCCTGCTGGGAGATTCCAGCCTTCAGCCGCTTGACCACATCATCGGATATGTCGATGACGCCGGCAGGAGTTGGGTTTTCCATCGAAACGGATCGGGGTTCGCGGGATTGAGACTGTCGGGCTCCCATCTTCTGAAGATCCTTTTCCTCTAGATCCTGGATCAAATCCTGAAATGTTGGTGGTTCGTTAGTAGATCTCAAGTCTCGGGAAGATCGCTGCAAACTTGGTTTGGTTTAGTTCGGCGTTTTTACTAGCCTTTTCGGAGAAAAACCAAGAGCCCAATAAATAAGATGTGCTCAGAGTGACCTTAACCGAAATGCACGAAAAAACCAAATACAGCGTAGTCAGCTGATTAGTAGCGTGGCCAGAGTTTAAAACACTGTCACTGTTGTCAGACAGATTTATAACAGCGCTGCCAGACTCATGAAAAGGTTTGCTATACTTTTAAAATCAGGTTCAAAACATTTATTCTGAAACTTTTTTAGGGCCTTTTACCTTTAAAAAGCTAGGCATTTGTACCTTAAAAATTATAAAGTAAATTACAATACCCAATTTTGACACTTCTAGTAACCAGCCAATCGGAATTTAAAATTCAGCACCCAGTCCATTTGCCTTTTTTCCCACAGCTCGTAAGCGATTAAATGAGTGTTATTATTGTTTAAGCTTTTTAATGCCTCGTTCGTATTTGTTATTGTGAGTGTGGAGTGGCTTATTTAGTGGCTGTTTTTATTATGTTCACACATACATATTCATGTTCGTTTTTTATTTCGAAATACTTGCTAATTACATAAATGTGGCGTGCACTTATCGTTACATCCGTCGAATTCCGATCTAACGTACTTTTTTCAAATGTTCATGAACCGTTTCGATTTCGTGGTTATTTTTTATTCCATATCACTGTTGGTGGTTTTTTGATGTTTTTGTTTCATATCGCTATGATATAATCGATATTCCACAATCGATTTAAGTTTAATTAGTTATTTAGTTCAAAAATTCTATTTTTAATATACATATACAGTTAATTATACAAAACTTTCGAAATTACTATGTTTGTCAATTTGTTAGTTTCTCTATTTTCGCTTATGCTGAATGGACTTTTCACACAAGATCGCTTAGTTCTCCATTGATAGTGGCTCATAATTATTATGATCCAGTTGTCGGGCTTTTCGATTTCGTTTCTATCAATAAAATGCTAATGGTTTAGTTCTCTTGTATACTAGGAGGAAAATCACACATATATTTTATTTATTTTTTGCTCGCAGGAGGGTTAATTTGGGTATTTTGTATGTACATTAAGTTATTCATTCGGTTTTGTTCATCTTTAGGTTTCTGGGAGGAGGCTATATCAACTAAGGATCTTCGATTTCTGGCTGAGCTGTATAGCTGTATGGTCGTGTTTACAAAGTTGGTCGATTTGCAAGGCGTGCGCTTTGAACAGTGTCTGCGTTCCACAAAAACATGAAGAAAATATTACCGAACTGATGGGAAAATAAAGTTCAGAAAACATAAAAACAATTTGTAAGAAATATCACGTAATGCATTTTTATTTAAGTTTTTAGTGGCTTCTGCGTGATCCGAATTCGTGTTTTTTGTTGATTTGTTAGTTTTAGACTCCCAGCCGATCGCTGTGGGGTTTTACATGTTTTACGTGTTCTCATAAGATGTTTGTATATTTATATATATTTATAATTTTTAACCATTTTTTCTTGGCGTATTTAGATTTTAATTTTTTTGTTGCATTTTTGTGTTTTTGTTTTAATGGTTTGGTATTACTTATAAACAAATTTCATATTATAGCTATAATTTATTAGCTAGCTTTATGTATTTTTAATGCCCAACGACGACTGCTGAAGGGGCACATTTTCTTCTTTTTGTTTAAATCGAAACGTTTATTATTTTGTGTACTTCTAACGCTATATATACGCTTTCTATCTTAGTTACATGTTTTTGTTGCGTAAACAAAAGATCTGCCCATCGACCATTCCGGGGATTTTTCTCCCGCTTGAGAAATTCGCGCAGCTAGTGTTTAAAAAACGGAAAATATATATGAACACATGTAGCGAAAGCGCAGACCACGAAAGTATATATAAATATATATAGTACAAATATACGGGGATCGTAGATGTTACAGTAAGATATAATATAACATAGGAGGGGCCTTAAAAGTCAGAGCGATGCTTAAAGCTAAAGAACGTCCCCTCTACTGCACTTGATCATCATATTCGTTATCATCGTTTAATTGCGCCCCGAAATCGGCCTCAACTTAGGTTACATGAGGGTGTTTTTGCTATATAGCATATGCTTTTGTATGGATTGGTTTTACTATCGTTAGTGTCTATAGTCTAGGGTTAGGGACACTCGCTTAACGGGGTGTCCTTTGTTTCTTTTACACAAATATTACACTTACAATCGAGTTATGTGTTTCTCATGATCGGTTTTGAAATATTCTGCTTGATTTAGGGATGGGATTTAAAATTAATAATGAAATATGAGCCGGCCGGAGAGCAATAGTCAAATGCAAATAAATGCCTGCGTATCCTGGCTCTCCTCCCAATCCCTTTTCGATCCTTGTTTAACCACCGATCTATTGGCTGTTCTTTTTAGGGATCTCAAATTAATTGAACAGTGCGGTGTGTTGCAGTTTCTTGCAGCCAAGTTGCAATCGTTTATGTACTAAAGTATAAATTAAATTAAACATAGGCTAGTTAATTAATAATAAGCGCGCCCAACGTTCTAACATCTGGGAGCAGAAACCAAAAATGTTAAAAAAAAACAAACGAAAATGTACAAAAAATAAGAAGGAAAGCGCCGCGCTTTGCTCTGCTCCTCTTTTTCTCACTGCTCTTTACCTCCGTTTTTGGCAGGGACCTGGTCATCCTGCCATTTTGGATACATTCAACATGTTTACCGCATATATAAAGCAAGTATTATATATATTAGGTATATATAACTATATATTCTACATGTATAGTTTTTGCTGAGTTCTGTTTGTCTACTGTGTCGTGTCCAGCGTCGCATCTAAACGATAAAATATTATTTGGCGTTCCCCACGCCCCCGCCGCTCTGCATGCCGCCCACGCCCACTCCGCCGCCGCCGCCTCCACCGCCCTGGCGCATCCGTATCGATGGACGTCGCTCGGGCGTATCATACGGCGGTCTCGAAGAGTTGGTGGCCGCCATTGAGTCGTCCATATTGAGTCCATTGCCGCCAATCAACTGACTGCCGTTTCCACCTCCATTTCCGCCCAGCATCGCCAGCGTTTGGCCGCCCTGGAGCTGCTGTTGCGCTGCACTGCCTCCACCGCCGCCCAGTGCCGCATTGACCTTGTGCTGCTGCTGCTGTTGATGGGAGGAGGCGGCGGCCGCCGCTGCCACTGCCGCTGCCGCAGCTACCGCATCGTGGCCCGCCTGGCCGTCCGCACCATCCTGCGCCTGTTGAATAGCCTGCGGATTCCGTGGACCACCAAACTTTAGCAGATTCCAGTCAAACACATAGTCATAAGTAAAGCCCAGGCGGTGGAACAAATTCCGGAAGAGTTTGCGCAGGTGGCAGTAGTCGGGGCGCTGATCAAAATGCATCTGGCGACAAAAGTTCAGATAGTTGACAAACTCGCTGGGGAAGCCCTTGCATAGCACCACAATCGAGGTGGATAGCTTCTTCTCCGAGATGCGCTCGTACTTTTGCCTTTTGTTGGCTGCCTTTAATCCTTGCCAGGGCAATGCGCCCAGGTTGAAGTACATAAGGACATAGCCCAATGATTCCAGGTCATCGCGACGGGATTGCTCAATGCCCAAATGTGTGTTGATCGAGGCGTAGCGGGCGGTGCCCGTGAGGTTTTTGTTTTCCCGATACGGAATGTGCTTTAGCGAGCGCGCGTCCCTGAACTTCTTTGCCAATCCAAAGTCAATAATATACACCAGATTGCCCTTCTTGCCCAGGCCCATCAAGAAGTTATCCGGCTTGATGTCGCGATGTATGAAGTCACGCGAGTGTATGTAGTCGATGCGGGAGATCATCTGGTCCGCCAGAAGCAGCACCGTCTTCAGCGAGAAGCGGCGCGAACAGAAATTGAACAGGTCCTCCAGCGAGGGACCCAGTAGCTCCATCACCATCACATTGTAGTCACCCTCGCTGCCGCACCAAATGATTCGCGGTATCCCAATGCCGCCCTGCATCGTCTTGTAGAACTTGGACTCGATGTGCAGCTGGGGGTGCTTAGTGCGGATGCACTCCAACTTAATGGCCACCTCCTCGCCAGTATTGATCGTAGTGCCCAAGTAGATATCGCCAAAGGACCCGGATCCGATCTTGCGGCCCAGGCGGTATTTGTTGCCCACGCGCAGCTCCATTTTGGATTTGTGTTCCGTGGGTTTTTATGTGTGGATGTGGGGTAACCTCGGATCTGCGAGTTCCGACGTGTGAGCCTGCTGCGGAGATAAACATATTTACTTTAGTCTTCTTTGTCTCAATTTCTAAAGTTATGAGTTCTGCAGAATGGTTGTGGTAAATAGAGCTTTTGCAAAGTAACGTAATCATAGAAACTGGTATTCGAATTCAATATAAATTGTTTATTTTATTCTTGAAGTAATAGGTATATTTGGTCATTATCAATAAAATTATTTCGAAAGAGTTTCTACGTTTTGTTAAATATCGTGAACACCCTTTAGTTTTGAATTTACATGCTGTGACCCACATATGTCGCTACTTTGATAATTAGTTAATAATATTATAGGTAAGGTACACAAAAAGGCATTTGAAATAATGTGTTAACGATATTATTAAAATTGGAAATGGATTTAGTTAGTTTCTTGGTTCGTGAGTTAAACATAAGTATTTTAAAATATTTATATCAAAAAGCATATTATCAATTAATAAAAATTAAAGTTTGTGTTAGTTTTGTAAATAAACAATTTTTAGAAACAAAATATGATATTTAAGTTATATAAGACAAGTGGAACGTTTTTAAATTAAGGGTTCAGTAGCGATAGGTTATTGTTCAATGCTAGGTTAGAAGATTTTTTTTCAGGATAAAGATAAGACTTTTTTTTTTGAACTTTCTCACCTGGCGCTGTCCTTTCGTCTAAGATCCTTCTCTTCTTTTTCCGATATTACTCAAGGCAGTCGCTTTAGGTTGTTTCTTCTGAAGAAAAAGAGAAAACTCATAAGTTAATTCTGAATGTCTTCTGTTTCAACTCGTCTAAAATATACTATTGGTATATGATAGGTTTTATACGTTTTATCTTAGGGACCTATAAAGAAAATGGCTTGTTTTTACGAAAACTTCATCACATTTGTTTTCTGGTAAGGATTTATTTGAAATGTGAATAAAAGCATGACAACACTTGAATCGATTTCGAAAAATAAGCCGTTAGCTAAGAATAAATGACTAGACAGCTAAAGAAGCACGCTAAGCTTACGTTGACAAAAACCAAAGAGAGCAAATGCACAGTGCATCAAATAAGATAGAAACCCGAACCTCGCACAAAATAAAAGCATATCTCGTTTTATTTATGAGAGTGTGTCTTTGTTCGTGTGGGTTTATTGATTACGAATGGGGAAAACAAAAGATGCTGAATTAATAAATGATGAGCAATGATATTTTAAATACACCGATAGAAAAATATGTAAATATATATCAAACATAAATCTAAAATAGTATAAAATATTCAAAAAGTACTTTAAAAAGTTGGTAGTATTCGACACTAAAATAAAAACAAGCGATATTCAAGAATTATAAAAGAGAGTTTTTAAATATTATAAATAGTGGAAATTAAACATAGTGTGTGTTTTATTTGAGCCCTTCGAAAAAATCTATGGTGAAATTCAATGTACCAGTATTTCACAGTTCATTTTCAACATGACGACAACATTGGGCCAGTGAATCAGCAATCAGAAAATCAGAGAAAGACGATGACGAAGAGATTAACAACAAATATGTAGATAAAAGAAACGTGTGTTTATATGTGCGTCCAGAAAACAATTGCCGACAAAAGGGAGAGAAAAATCAAATAAAACGCTGCGGACTGTGAAAATACCACTTAAATGACACTTTCGGTGGTGAAAAGCACATACAAATAGTGGAGATAACAGAAAAGAAGCAACAAGCTGAAAGTTTTCACTTGCCGGGCAAAAGTGACACAAAATATATTTAATTGTTGTTTTAGGCGGCGTTCCTTTTATTCCCCACTCTCTCTTCCTCACTGCCTCTTTCTTTGCGCTTTCTTTTCCCGCTCACGCATTTAGATCGAGCTCTCTCTACTTGCCCTCTCTCTCTTTCATACTCTCTAAAACTGTTCTAACCTCAAAACTAGCGTTTGTTGTTGTTTTCGCTTTGACTTTGATTTATTTATTTATTTTGTTGGTACCACCTATGCTCTACGCGGGGAAAAAAGGTTGTTGTCATGGAGATTAATTCGATGATTTTACATATAATTAAAGATTTAAAGTTATAAAAATTGTAAAATAATAATTTGTTAGCTAAATAAAGATCAGTAGATTTGGTATGATGATCAGTATTGATATATTATATGTTTTAGTCCCCAAATTTATAAATTAAGATGATAAATGCATTAAGAAGCAGGCGGACTTGAATTCAGCCATTGAATACTTAAATGAGGCTTGGGTTATTATTATTATTAACATTTATTTTTTTTTTCCTGTGTTGTTTTATTAGGTGCGTGTGAATGAAAGATAAATTGATTGGATAGTTTTGTTTATGACTTTCCAATTGTCGAGTTAATATTTTCTAGGGTATTCATCAGTTGGTGTAGAAAAAATAATAAACGTGAATTGATTACATTCGCAAAACAGCTGCACGTTGCGTTGGCGGCTGCCGAAAAGCTTCCGCAAAAAAATAGAACAAAGAGACAAACAGTTGTTCCAGCAGGCGCCACAAAAATTGAAAGCTTAACATAACAGCAAGCAAATAATATACAATTTTTATTTGCAATAAAAAAAGAACGTTAGGGAAAACTGAAATAGTCCAAGCAAATTGACAATTCTATGTTTGTAATTAGTTTTCCAGCGTCAATGGCCTCCGAAAACTAACGGCCCTCTCCAATGCACCGCGAATAACGGGGCTGATAAGGAACAGCCGATAAAGGCGGGTGGAAAAGAAAGACATAAAAATACAGTGGGACAAATTTCCTAACTTACCTTGGCTTAATTATTTTATTCTTCTACGTTGCCCACTTCCTCTGCTGGCGTCTCTGCTACTTTTTCTTATTCGACTGAAATCGAAATCGAATTTTTTAATTGGATTGATTCTTCGTCAATATTCATTTTCTTTGTTTTAGCCCCAGACTTGTTTTTTGTTGTATTTGCTCCTATCACACAAACACACACGCACACAGTCGCACTTTTGGGGCCACACGCAAGCGCATTTTATGCAACATAATACGAATAATAAAGCATTACTGCCATATTTTAGTTTTTATTTTTATATGAACTATTTCTATCTTTCTTTCTTATTTGTTTGGGTGGTTTTTTTTCTGTGTAATTTCGTTTTAGCGAGGAAAACAGCATTAAGTCAAGAAAAATAAAAGAAACGAAACGGAACTTGGAATCTTATAAAAAAAAACCAAACTTATGCGAGTCGTTTGCCCTGGCAATAGATGTGAGCACACTAGTTATCTCGCTTGCACTCGCACTGTTTATACCGCGAGCACGTTGCTATCCCTCCTGCTTCAGCATTTTCACACCAACACAAAGGCGCTCTCACACACTCACGCACAAGTGAGACACTAAAAGACGTACGCTGCTGGGAAATTCGAATTTTCTTGCGCGTGTTCACCGCCGTTTTTCCATTCGCAAATGGTTTTTTGATCCGATATTCTACTGAGCACTTACGTTTTGCTTCAACTCTGCGCTTTTGTTTCAATTTGCCTGGCTATTTCACAAGTATTTCGACGATTTTACAAATCTTTACAGTACGCCATCTTGATATAAGTGCGATTTGGAGGTGGAACAAAGTCGATTTTTATTCGAGACTATCGATGTTTCCAGAAATGTGGCAACGTCAATAGTTTCGCTGCTATTACCGATTAATAAACAAAACTTATCGGCGGTATTTTTAAGAATTTAAAAATATCAACTTAAATCAAACTTATTACTATAAATATTAAAAAATACCATTAGAGTTGCCATTTTTTAATATAACTATTTCTGACAATTCGACTTTTACAAACGGAGCCCTTAATATAATTACTGCATAAGAAATTTTTTAATTTTAAATCTTAATTCCTTTTGTTTTATTTAAAATAAACAGGTCGTGAGGACCTTGCTTAAAAATATGAATTGTTAGCAATCTTTGAAATTACAACGTTGGTGTGGAGGGTAACTTCACTACATGCGGTGGATGAACTCGCTAATAGCAAATATAGCGCCAAAAATAGTGGAGCAAAAAATAGATCTTAAAAATGCTGCTGCTCTAAACAAAGCTACTTTTTAAATACCAACTTAACAATAATACTGAAAACAAATAACAAAACTGATCGCAACAAGAACAAATGGAGGGCTTAATTTATCCGAACGAGAAAAAATAAAAATAATATTAAATATACAAACTTTTTTATGATTATACAATTTTATTTTAAAGTTTTGTTAGTTATTTGAAAATAAAACTTATGTCAAAAATCAATACGTTTGAATTTAAAATTAAATAGTAAATTTTTAATTTAAAGTAATAGGTAATTTATAACTTATAACTTCAGAAATATTTTTGTTTAAAAAGTCAGAGTATTAAAATCGATAGAGCTTCTTATATCTTAGATACATTTTTTAAGTTAGTCGAGCTTAATAGATTAATATAAAATATATATTACCTTATTTCAAACTTTGAATTGTTGCCTGCAAGCTTAACGAGCTTTTAAATCGATTTGCAATATTTTTAAACTTCAGCTAGATAGCAATTGCTTCAAATTTATACATCTATAGATAGCGTATGCTTCAAATGTAAATAAATATTGTGACACAAATTGGTAGTATGGCAATTTTGATGTGAGAGCTACGAAATACCTGAAACTAATACTTTTATTGCTGCAATACGAATAAAGTAAAACACGTGTGAATTCCATTAGTCTACTACTCCGCATTTTCCCATTTCCCCCTTTTTCAGCGTTTTCCGACTGTGAAACCCAAGAAATGGTGACATAAAAAAAGGAAGCGGCGAGTAGAGCTAGATATGCATATGGAAATGTCTGTGTATTTTTATATGTGTGCTAAGGTGTGTTTTATTTCGATTTTCGACTGGGGGTAGATAAGCAATTACTCAAAATTGATCAAAAAAAGGGGAAAATTTCAAGAACAGAGAATTCGGGATTGAAAGAGCTACATTTTAATTGAAATCGACAGAATTAAACTGATTTAATTGCAACTACCTCAATAGTTTCTATCATAATCTATCCAAAATTTGTATAGAATAACTCCCATTTAATTGCATTTACCTCCATCTTTTCTAATTTTCCGAACGTATATGAAATCCCGCCTTTGTTTCTCATTGGCTGAGAAAAAGAGAAAACAAAGCAAATCAACGAGGCAATTGAAGATACAAAAAATAAAGTATGAAAACAACTCGCCCAACTGCTTACACAGATACTTTTACCCATACTATCTTGACCACACTCACACACTGGAAGTCTCACGATCGCTGACGAATGAAAATTGTCGTTATTTCGACCGGTGGTCAACGAACACGAATACAAAATGAAAATAGTAACCAAAAAAGGTGAGAAACAATAAAAACAAATGTGGGAGCGGGGGTGAAGAGTGTATGTAAAAGATCTTAGCCCGAGCAAGACGTCGATATCTAAAAAAAAAGCTTTAAAAAAAATGTTCAGAAAATGTTACACAATCAATATTATAATTTTCTTTTGTTTGTATTATTATATTATTTATAAGTAATTAAAAAAATATTTTGTTATAAAATATTTCATTACTTTATGTACACTTTATTGTATATAGGGAATACTTCTGCTTATACAACTTTGTTACTCCCTAAAACATCAAAAATATTGATATGTTTTTCTGTCAAATGAAGATTTAAGTATTTTCTGACTGTCCGTCGCTGCTTTGGTTGTTTACAAAATATTTCCGCAACACATGTCGTACTTCTGTAGGGTTCTTCCGCCTGCCCCGCCCCTTTCATCTACGGCTCCTTTTCTTCTTTTTCTAACGCATCCAGATATGTTAAAAAAACGCCATTTGGTTTCGTTTAGCAGTCGGCTTTAACATTTTGTTCGGCTTTTTTTAAGCTTGTCGGCGGCTTAGATCAAATAATGCGATTTCATGGCAAGTCGCAAATTGTCAAGCGCTTCCTTCCCCGTTCAGATGCAGTCGACCTTTCTGCTCCAATTTGATTACGAAACACAAAGAGTCGGGGGAAAAATTAATTCGCCTCTGTTTATTTTTTTTCTATAAAGCTCAAATATTTTTAATTAATTCAAATAATTTTTTTGCACATCATTTTTTTTGCGCCCAGTTGTTTATCAACAAGTAACCGGGCTTTGAAGTTCGCCGGTCCAGAATAAATGTATAAGCGCGGGGTTTGAGGGGTGTTTGTGGGTTGGTTGGTTGATGGTAGCCTATTAAATTTCCTAGACGCGAATCAATTTTCCAGTCGCTGCAGTTCAGCGAACTGCCTTCGAAGTTCTGTGTGTTTTTGTATTTTTCATTCTTTTTTATGGAGTATCGTATAATTTTCATTTTGATGTCTTTTATGACACTTCCAAAAAAGAGTAAAATAAACGGGCGCTGCTTTGACTTCAGTTTTCGGTTCGATTTCATCTTCCCAATTGGCATTAAAGTATCTGAAATGGCCTAGGTATTTATGATTTCGTTTATGCATTTCCCTGTTTTTTATTGTTTAATTTTTGTTACTTCGATTTGTCTGCCAGAGGCCGGCGGCGTTTGAAAAAAAAGTTAATTGAGTTGTAAAAATTATAAAGTTGTAAAAATCCCCCCGAAATATTTTTTGCCGGGTAAAAGTTATGTGATGCAGATATCGATTTGGTTTCCTACCATAACTTCCAGTTGAAACCAGCTGGAAAACAAAAGCGTAACCAAACTACACTACTTCGATGTTTTACGATCGAGAAATGAATAGCCCTCCGTTCCCTGCTTATTTCTTTTCTTTTTCGAGGGTGTTTTCTTTGGTTTTTTGAGGTTTTGGTTTTACGATTTCGGATCGTGTCGAGCCTGAGGTAAAATCTAGTGCAAAGTGGTTATGAAAAGATCTTACCAGATCACCTGATCTTGACTTCTATCTGGTTTTATTAAAAGATTTATAAAAAAAAATGTGTATTTTACCTGAGTGGCAAGATTATCTGAATCTCTTATATTTAACATTGTATTAGTTTATTAAGTGTACTTTTTAAATATCTTATAATTTAGTAAAAACCTTGAAAACATCATTTGAATATTCTCTAAATTACAAATTAAAATTTTTCTAGTTATAGTCCCTAAAACAGTTTTTACAACGTGGTTGTAAATAATTATATTATTTTAATTAATTTATGGATGTGCTAATATAATACAAAAATCATAAACAGAAACCTGAATCTTAAGAAAGCACCTGTTAATTTAAAGCTCTGCCATAATAGGTTTTTTCAAATTATATTTCTTCGTTGAAGAAATTTATTTAGTTATATATCTATTGTTAAATTGTCAACCCTATGAACCAATCGATCATTTTCCAGCCCCACTCCCGTTTAATATCTGCTAGTATCACTCCATTCACTTCTTGTAACCCTTAAATCCTTAATGATCTTATCGACCTCTCATTAGCAATCGTTTCTCCCCAATTGAGGTCGGATCCTTTCCGATCCCCTCCCCATCGAGTGCCCAAATACAGCTGCAATAAGTGGCAGGTTTCTACGGTCCCGAAAGACAACCCCTTTACTTAAAGTCTTCCGGAGGTGTCATAAATCCACATGTGGCTGTAAAGTGTTACTAATTTCTGTTTCCATTTCGATTTGTGTCTCTCTGCGTTTACCCATCTCACGACCCCTCACTCTTTTAAGTATCCTGGGATCTTGGTATTTTAGGGTATATTTTGTGCATAATACATTTGTATTTGTAAACTTGAAAAAAACTAAAAACATGAGAATGTAATTATTTTCATATTTAATTGGCTTGGATTAACCAAGAAAAATTGTAGGTTTCATTTTTTTTTTAATTTAAAACTAAATTTCTCCATACCATAAACATTTAAAAAATTAATTAACATTCTAAGTTTAATAGTCGAATTTCTATGCTATACTAACAAATACAAAACAATAATTGTTCAGTAAGAAAAACAATTTATAAAATGTTAAGACTTTAAATAAAACAACCTGTAATAATAAATTAAGAAAAAAAAGAAAAAAAAACTTAAATATATGCAAACAATAAAATAGAAAAATCCCAATTTATGAAATTACTTAATTAAAATATATACACGGTATTAAAAAGTCGAAAAAGTCGCCTTTACTATGATTCCCCACTCGTTTGTCGGCGACAGTCGTCACCCCCGTCTGATTTTCGATTCCGCTCTGGGGCCACCTAATTTCACATGAACATGTTAATGTTTACACGCGTACCGCGATGTTCGCCCCCGTCGCGTATCTCCCAAAACTGCCCGCCCCCAAAGACCCCGAACCACCCACCAAAGCCCAGCTAACGATCCAACCAACCACCGCCTTTAGCTTATCGCCACGATCGTTGGAATATCCGACGATTTCCGAGCTCGTCTTGGGGAAAAAGAACCGAGCGATCCCCAAGATCAGTCGCAGTTTGCCCGTCAGCCTCGTCGCGTCTCCTCTTATACTATCCGTAATCGTATTCGTAAGCCCCCTTTTGAGATCTTAAGATCCAGAGAGCTGCGTGGGTGAAAACTATAATATTCAATTGCGTTTTCAGTGATTTTGTGAGTGCTTGTGACGGTGGTTGAACTAATTTAGCAAGGGGTTTGGCGTGCGGCCACAAAATGAGCGAAACTT